TTTAATTAAATAGCCCATTTAACTCCAGACTTCAAATGATTATATTACAGTTTTGGAAGAAAATTTGAATTGTATTTTGATAAAGGGCATTTTAAATACCAGACAGAGATTGGCATTTAGCAGAGCAGATGGGGGTTTGTAGTGGTGCCCAGTGTTTAGTCTTAATCAGTTTAGTTCTTGCTTTCTTGCTGTGAATCCTAGCCAAATACTTTTTTTTTCCCTTACAAAAAAAAAAAAAAAAATCCTGGCTTGCTGGCTCTTGTGGGAGATGTGGTTGAGAATAACAAATACTGTGCATGTGGGAGGTGGGAGAAAGGCAGAGTAACTCATGGTAACTCTCAGGACTGCTCCATCTGTGACCCCTTTCCCTCTGCTGTCATTGCAATCCTGCAACCGAGAGGTCTTCACCCTCCTGATTTTTTTCAGGAACTTGCTTCTGATTCACTTGCCCTTAAACTGTGTTTTAGGTCAAAGTACTCGTTACAGTACTCATACCCTTAGTTAACAGTTTTTTTATAAGCATGTTAACTTTTCATAGAAAAGTTGATCAATAAAACAAGCAAACATATTGTGAACTGTGTGAATATACCAATAGAGACCAATCTCCTCTTGTTTGGGGGTGGGCTCAGGGGTGTTTCTGTTTTGCATGCAGCAGAGTTTTTTCATTTGTTTGGGTGTTGTTGGTTTGTATGCTTGGGGTTTTCTTTAATTCCTCCTATGCTGGCATTACCTAGGAACCTCTGGATGTTGGGTTCCTCTTCCCTTAGAACACTGTTCCAGCAGATTTTCCTGCTTATCCTCCTGTTGCCTTGGTTCCAAGTACAGCTCTCCACAAGCGCCCTGTGATATGCAAGGGAGTAGCTGAGGCCTGGTGTTGCAGTGGTTGTAGCACTGCTTCTGACCAAGGTGAACCAGAGCAGGCAGAAGGTGTGACTGCTTCAAGCCATTCACTTGTGGTCCTTGGCCATGATTCCATTTCTTCCCACCCTTTTCTGAATCTCACCAAATGTCCTGCTTTGGGTGTTTGCACTGCAGAGAGCCTGCCTCTCCTGCCAAGGCTTGCTCATGTGCTTATGGGTTTGTGCTGTGTGTTTGTGCTTGCCTGATCCCTGCACAGCTGGTGGGTGCATCCTCTCTGCTTCCAGCTGGTGTCCTTCCTGCCGTGTTCAGTTGTTTCTGCTGTGGTCCTTGTTGTGCTGGTGCTGTTACCTGTGCTTTGCTGTCTCCTTCTAGTACCTTCCTTTCTTGAGCAGCAGCTCTCCTGCTTTGCTTTCAGCCTCCTGCACTCCAACTTCCAATGTACCAGCATACCCAGTCTGAGCAGTGTTGTTGCTGGTCTGTGCATACACTCCTTGCCCCACTCTCATCTTCACTTTGTTCAGCCATAGACAAGTGATCCTTGTTCTTCAGTGTTTATGGGAACCTGTATGTCCACATCCTTAGCTCCTTTTTTCTGACAGCTTTACCGAATTAAATCATGCTCATATGGTGTCCATACCAGATCCCTGTGTGCATTCCACTTTGCATACGGTAACTTCAGCTGTGCAGATTAGACTTCTCAAGTTGCTGCTCAGTCCTATTGGGTAATAGGACTTAAATCACTGAAATCTGATTGAGATTTTTTTTTTTGGAGACTGCTTGCCACTTCTTTGCTATCTACCACATGCCATGCAATTCACACATGCTGTCTTCTGGAACAAAGTGCTAAGTAGTGGGAAGATCACCCGATTACAGGTTTTATTGTGATCCAGCATGCTGTGATGAAGATAGATACACTATTGTTAGCAACAGTTCCGTGGATGTGTATGTCTTGGAATAGCTTAATAATTAAAGATGCCAACTTGATCTCCTGAAGTTTTCTAAGCTGTGCTTATTTCTGTGATGCATCATCTTTTTTTCATACTGATTTTAGCTGCCTTTGGTGATTTTTTTTCTTTCTTTGCTCAAACATTCTGTGATTTAACATGAGTCATTCTGTCTGTGTGGGAAAGGGCTGGTTTATTACAGGGTCTGTTCTTGAGTGGGGAGGGGAAAGGGTGGAATGTATTTGTGTTTTCTATGTGTTTGTTGTGGAAATGCATAAAACTTTTTTTTCTTCTTCTCTTTCTTTCCTCTCTTCATCATCTCATCTGTGTGGGTGAATGTTCCTGCAAACCCTTGGGGAACCTATAGAGACGTTTGGTATGCTCATTCCTTCATTAGTGCCCAAAGTCACAGATGCTAGGTACAGTTTAGACTAGAAAAGCAGACAAGAGCCACATCATCACAATGTAAGGTGGCTAAAAATGTGCACTTGAGGAAAACCTCTAAGTCATCATCTATTACACCTATTTGTTTGCATCATCACAGTAATACCAATGGCCACTGCTACCCAGTTGGCAAAAATTTTGATTCTGCACTTAAAAGTAGAAATTAAATGTGTTTTCTTCTAGCAAGAGCTGCTGTTTTGTGCTTGAGAGATAATTTTCAAAAGTTCAAATTCCAAGTCGTGTTTTGAGAAATGACAGAAGTGCATGCACTTAAATTGCCTAAGTTCTATTTGAAAGCACCTGCAGAATTATCTTGCCGTGTAGGAGCCCAGGTAACCTCTGGAAGTGAGAACCAGGCATAATTCAACGTACTCTGTCATTAGGAAGAAACTGATTTTAATAAAACTGAGCACAAAACATTAAACTGTTTTTAAAATATAGTGATTTTCAGATAAGTTGTTAGCCTTGGGTAGCTTTATTTTGAAAATTTATGTTCAATGCTGCTTTCTATGAAAAGAGGGCCAAAGTAAAGTAGAACAATGTAGGAGTTTTGTTGCAGGAGAGCTTGTGGCTTAATGGTATTCTAGAAATGAGAGATTTTTCTCATGAATCCACAATTTGAATATTTCCAGCTGGATCACATTTAGTTCATAAACAGCATTCTTTATTCCATAAGTAGAACAGAGATAAAAATGACTGTAAATGTCATTGTATATTTTTATATATACTGAATAGTCATACTTCAATGTGAAATAAGTGGCAACATAAAATATTTATTTATATGAACAGAGATGGCATGAGAGATATTTAAACATATGTACTGCAATGACATTAAAAAAAAAAAATTACTTTGTGTTAATGTTCACTTCTAAGCTACAGCCGCTAAAGTTTGAAGGCTCAGCTCTTTGGTAATCTTAATGATTTTCTTGGGGTTTTTTTCTTGTCATTAAGAGAAAATATTTGTGCTACTTTGACATAAATTGATGTTTGAATAACTGTATCAGTATTCCTCACTTGATCAAGTCATCTCTGTTCTTCTAATGGAAAAAGGATCATCAAACATGAATTTGGACATTGCTAGTTTCCGGTTTTTGTGTTGAAAATTATTTCATGCCACAGGAAATCCTGTCCTATCTTCAAATTAGGATAATTAAAAGTCATTACATGAATAACCTCTATTACTTATAAACAAAGGAAATATTTTCGACACACAGGATAAATACGTTAACATTTTTTGCTGATTAGCCACTAAAATATTTTTAACTCTCAGTTTTAATACCATTTTACCAGTTTCTTTGATACAAACTGTGTTTTTATTGCACTTCTTAACCATAAGTTTAGAGTACTGAATATGTTCCTCCTCTGTGATGTTGCTTGTTTCTCTTCAAATAACATTGCTGAGTGGATATCATGCTTCAAACACTTTCCTAATGTTGAGGTCAGCCAGAACTTTTGACAACTTCTATGAAATTACCATTTTATTTAGTGCTCCATCAGAGCCAGTGGTAGTGGGAGCCATAAACCTCCTTTGAGTGTTTTGTGATAATCAAGTCCCATAGCACACCCAAGAAGGGGGGGGGAAAGGAAAAATAATAATTTACAACCAGCCTTCTCCAGGGCTGCTGCTGTTTTTACTGCTGCTGGAAATGTACCAGTATAAGAAGAGTATTTTTGAAGTTTTCTTTGTCAACATTAGTATTCACTGAAAAGTACAAGGAAGTTCTGATTCATCAAGTGATTTGTTTACAACCTGTTATAAACCTAATTTTTTGACTGTCAGAATGTAAAATACAGTTGCTAAAACACAGAGTGCTAGATATTGACCAGAATAATCTTGGCATATTGTGGTGTATTTTTAGCAATTGCTTGTGGCAGAACGTCACAGTACAGAAAAAACACTGTTATTAATGTTGTATTATGTGAAATGATTCAGAGAACACACAACCAGTATGATATTTTCTTGATTCTGTGACTCTTTCAGAACCACAGCAATGTCTGAAACACCTCCCATTAATGACTGTGCATGAAGTAATCCACATTGATCTGGCTGAGCATTGATATTCAAAAAAAAGAGAACAGCTGAGAGATGATCTGAACAAAATATTTTGGTGCACATTTTAAACAGTCATCCAGAATTTTGCCATTGTACATTCCTTCAATTTCAATGGAAAATCAATATTAAAACTGCATATTCTCTGACTGTGGGCATGCCTAATGTGCAGTGTTGTTGTAGCCCTGTGCTTTGTCTTTGCTTGCAGTAATGCTGTCCATTTGGTCCTTGAGCTTGCAAACAGCCTTTAAATAAAGGTGATGAGGGGAAAAAGCAATGAGATTGACATTACACTCAAGCAGCTGAAAAAGAATGCAACATTTAAAGAGATAAGAAGTCAATCTTTGTGGAATGGCTATTTATGAACGTCAGGTGTTTGGTTTTTTCCCAGTTGAATTAAGAATGTCTGACATCACCTTAAAGCCTGCTTGCCTATAGAGTATTTGAGCTATTAGAGCTGGTAAAGTTTAAGTAATTTGTGTAGAATGATGTAGTTACTCCAGAAAGCTTAGATATCACCTGGAGATAGAGTAGAACTTCTAGAGGCATTGATGCTTGCTTTCATCCATGGTGAAAATAGCGTATTATCAATTGAAGAAAGAAGTTGATAATGAAGTTTATGTATTTTGTTAACAAACCATCTCCATTGCACTCATGATGAATTAGATTAATTGAAATGTACCTTCTTTGTGTGTTTTCAGTGAAAGAGTTCCTAGCCAAAGCCAAAGAAGACTTTTTAAGAAAATGGGAAAGCCCCCCTCAGGTATCAGTCATTTAAGCATTCAGTAATTTTCTGTGTTGCATTTTTTGGATAATGTTATCAGTCTGTAATGAGTAGTGCAGAAATAATTTTAGTGCAATTTGTAAAGGATTTTCAGGTTGTTTTGATGCCAGCTTTGTCACTTTCACCAAAGTTTATCAACAGAGATTATCAAGTATTCTCCAGATTTGAGCTGATAAAATGCTCCCACTGAACAACATTTTCTCTTATGAGAATGATGTTCACAATGAACATGACAAGACTCAAAATCTATTGGCTTGTTTTTAGTTGGCTTTTTTTTAATAACCAGAAGCATTGGCACATCTGTAATTTACCATGTTAATAATTTCTGCTAGTATGTGGAATTAAGAGTATTAAGACTACTGCATAGTGCTTGGGAGCTGGTTAATGAGCTTGTTAGAGTGAAGTCTTGTAAAATTTGGGATTTTGGGTAAGATTCTTGTTCTAATGCAATATTTGAGATGCTATGGAAATGAATGTCTGAGAAAATGTACTTGGGGATGTGCTCTTCAGACAGCTCTCATGTAGAACTCTCTCTAGAGCTTGGGGTCTTTTGCATGTTCTAATATTCTTGATCATGAAGCATGAAGGGATTATTTATCTGCATGTTATATTCAGGATCTGTTTGCTGCTAGATGTTCCTTACTAAGCATGTATGGACAAATTACAGAAATGTTGATTCTTCTGTTTCAATGAGTGCAATGTAAAATCTCTTTTTTAAAATTTGACTGATATCAAATTACAACAGTATAGTTGGCTATAGTTATCTTTGTTAAATGTAGTATTTCCCAACTCTTTTCCATAACTGAATTCATACAGTTAAAATTCTCTTTGGTATTATTGTAAACAATGTGATTATATCCTACATATAGAATACTGCTGGCCTAGATGATTTTGAGCGGCAAAAAACCCTTGGAACAGGATCATTTGGGAGAGTAATGATGGTGAAACATAAATCCACAGAACAGTATTATGCTATGAAGATACTGGACAAACAGAAGGTTGGTATAATTCATTGGGGCTTTGTGCTACAGAAGAGTTTGATTTTTTTTTTTTTGCATAGAAAACCCCATTTTTTGCATCTAAAGCATTCTCCTGTTAGACACCATTATAACTTGTATTTTTAAAAAATCTAATGAAGTTAAAATGACATTCCAGCGTAGTACAAATAAAGGCAGCCCACCCATTTCCACCTATGTGGAAATGTGCCTCAGCATTACCTCAGCATGGCTGGTGGCATCCTGCAGCAGAGCATCCCAGTGCTGCACAAAGAGTCCACCACCAAATTTCAGAGTCTCAGCTGTTTTTTTACTTTGAACCCTTTTTTTGTGAATGGCCGAGTTGTGATTACTGGAGGAGTTTAGGAAATAACATCTTACTTCAGAAAGCTGCCATAAAAATACTTCAAGAGTTGGTTTTTTTTAAGTTAATTAAATTCATTACTACCTCTCAAAATTAGAAAGTTATCTGGAAAAAGCAAAAAGGTCACATTTTTAACAACTGCAGTGAATTTGCAGTAAATGATTCCTAGGATTATAAAGATGTTTGCATCCAGACATCAGTCTTCTTTCATAAATTAGATAGTTTTGTATATAATAAGAAATCTTGATGTGTTCCTTTATGAAATACCTGGTTTTTCAACTTATCTTAGCATAATTATTTTTTATGTATTCTATTAGAAATATATTAGTAGCTTCCATTAATTGTTAGAAAAATAAAGAATACATTTCTGTCTCTTTGTTTATGACAGAAAGCATACAGCTATCTGAAATTAGACAATGGGCAGGCTGCCTATAATTTTTCATTTCCATTTTGCTTGAAAAAAAGGGAAAGCATCCAGTGAATGTCTTTGTTATCCAGTCTCATGCTTGATTCATAGAACATGAAAAAAATGTAATGGATGTTGAGGCAGCCTGGAGTTTTCTGTGTAAGGATTATTAAAGTTATTCCTTTGTCTGCCTTGAGTTAGGAAGGCTGTAACATGCCACTGCTTGGCTAGTTTAATTAGGTAATTGTATTTGGAAAGAAAAAAATCCTGAACAAGAGCCTGGGCACAAAGAAGCTGTTGGAGAATCTGCCATTATACCATTTGGTATATGGGAAGCTGACACTGGCCATGCCCTGAGTCTGTGCTGAAGTGTGAACAAGCTGGGTCTGAAGCCCCAGTTGGACATTCTGAAGTGTTAAACAGCAGCTTCAGCCTGTGGCGTTGCTCCATCCCCTTGCAGTACCTCCCTGGGAGCAGATGCAGGAGCAGGAGTGAAGTCTGGTCTGGCATTGCAGCTGAACACCTCACAGACAAGAGCCCTGGCTTTCTTGCTTGGATGGACAAGATCTTTCCAGCACTGTAGCTTTTTAGGGATGAAGGAGATACTTCCCACAAATTAGTTGATTTGAGCGAAACTTTATTTGTACCCTGAAGACCTAGAATTCCAAATGGGTATCATTATTTCCTTTGTATGATGTTTATTTCAAAACAGTAGTGAGTTTTTTATGGGTACTACTTTTTGCTTCTAAAATTAAATTTAAATGCTATTTCATTCAGGGTTGGAGTATCTTGATTATCTCTTATTTATAGCAGTTAGATTTGATTTCCAAACATAAAAGCAGACTTGTTTTGATCACTTATGTACATTTCCTTCGCTTTTCCTATGGAGTGAGGAAAATCTCTTAACTTTACTTGGAAATCATGCCATTCTGAAAATGGGTTATAGATAAATTGTGCAATTGGGATTAAATAAAATGGATGTAATTTATTATGCACCGTGGGGGTCTAACACAAGAAAACTTATTATTAATTGCTGAGAAGGAATGAACAGAAACCTGCCACTTGCTGCCTTGTTAGTACCCTAACATTGTAATGAATTATAAGAAGTAACTTGTTCATAAAAATGGATATTTTGAATTTGTGTTCTCCTTACATTAGTTTTGTCACACATTAGTTTTGTCACTAATGTGTGAGCTGTATAACATAAGCCTGTTTACTTCTGTTCACAGGTAACAAAATTCATAATTGTGTCCTACACAGTTTCCTGCCTTTCATAGCAAAGGGTCCAAAGATCAAGTGGACTTTATTGAAGTGCTGAGAAAATATGGCCATAATAAATATAAACCTTTCATAGAAAATGCAGACAGGTTTTCCTTACTGACTCTTACACTTAGCAAAAAGGAAGAAACACTATTTGTAGAGTTGTCTGCCAACCATATTGCACAAGTGTTACTCTTTAAAATGTTATTAGACTTTTAAGTCCTTTCTTGGTGCTGTTACTGTACTAGGAATCCATAAGGTTTTTAATTTTCTGTAAAGTTACAAATTTGCTTTCAGCTAATTGTTCAACATGGAAAAGTTTATGAAGAGCTATAAAATATCACACTTAAGCTGAAGATTGTTTTTTCTCTCCCAGGTCGTCAAACTGAAGCAGATAGAACACACACTGAATGAGAAGAGGATATTACAAGCGGTGAACTTTCCTTTCCTTGTTAAACTGGAGTATTCTTTTAAGGTATTCATTACTTTCAAAATAGTTGTTGGGTTTCAGGGAAGTGCATGCTTACACTTTAGATATTAAAATATATAACTTTTACTGTACAATAGTTCAAGTATTTTTGTTTTCAAAGATGCTTCATTTGGCACTGTTGCCAGGGCTTGAGTAGGAGTGGAGTGCACTCGTGTACACTTCATATACCCCCGTTCATCAGGTAATGTTTGAAAGGATATCTCCAAATAAAAAAATAAAAATTAAATTAAGTTGAACTCCTCAGAGTTTTCTCTTCTCTTGGAGGGCAGCTGGATTGTACAGCAAGGGAGCTTTAAGGCATAATTTTACCTTTGAGAGATATCAAAGCGTGTCTTCTGTACCACTATATAGAATGGTAAATTTGTAATTGTTCTGCAGATCTTTTTGCTTGAGATTTGTACCTGAGGCAGGTCTTAATGACAGTTTTGACTATGAAGGACAGTTTTAACATGAAGCTTCTTATTTAATGACAGTACATACTAGTTAGTTTGTAAAGAAATTGAGAAGCTTTCTAGTTTATGGAGTGATGTGTGCCTTCTTTTTTTCTTTTTTTAATTTTAAATGATCCCACATGTTCTACCTTAATCTCTAGAGGTTTGAGGTTTGGGGCAGGGGCTGTGGAGACGAGAATACCTCAGGTTGTCAGTTATAAATATTGAAGGGTTCAAGGTCTTGCCTTGCAGCAGACATCTTACCCTCTCTTCCGTCAGGTCTCTTACACACCAGTCTGCGTCTGGACCTCGCTAGTTGTCTTTATCAGATTTGCTTTAAAATATATTTCCTGAGATATATGATGCTTCTTTTGCAGTTTTTCAAGAATTTCTACCTATATTGCATTACATTTGCCAATATCATTGGATGGCTACAATTTTTCATTTTCATTCATTCATAAAATCTGCTCCACGTAGGAGTTGTAGAGACTCTAGCATGCCTAATGTGCATTTGTATGTGTTTACTTGTCTCCTGAATTTCCTTAGGACAATTCTAATTTATACATGGTAATGGAGTATGTTCCTGGTGGAGAAATGTTTTCACATCTAAGAAGAATCGGAAGGTTCAGGTAAGAGTATTAATGACGCTATTCCTTTTAAAAAGCCTAATTTGCTGATTTGGGAAGAGGGGTTTGTAAAATTTGTTAGCATTGAGGAAAATTCTGAAGGGTTAAGTGCATTTACCCCTTGTTCAGTGGACTTAAATTAGGCAATGAAGAACTCCTATTTATTTTTCATTTAGTTAATACAGGCATTTGTGATCTGTGCATAATAGAATTTTGGAATTCCTATGCATATTGTCACTGAAATTCATGATAGTTTCTAAAAGTAAAATTTGAAGTCAAAGCTCTGCACTGTGGGATACGTTTACCTTGATTTGCTTATGTATTTTAGCTGCAAGACTTTAATTTAAGGAATGTATGTATCAGTTCTGAAAATGTTTGGTTTTGCTCTTTCTTGTTGCACAGTAAAAGAACCAGTTAAAAGATACTTACTTTGTCTATGCCTGACAGTTAGGTGGTTGTTTTGGTACCTTAGCGTAGCATTGGGGTACTTAATTTTCTTTTAATTCTTCACAGTGAACCACATGCACGGTTTTATGCAGCTCAGATAGTGCTAACATTTGAGTACCTCCATTCATTAGACCTCATCTACAGAGATCTAAAGCCTGAAAATCTTTTAATTGATCAGCAAGGATACATCCAGGTATGATATTTTCATATATTTAGGGATGAAGTTTTGTCTTGCAGTGGAGATTTAGGTAATTTGAGAAAATGTGTTTAGAATAAATGGTCTGTTAGCATGTTTGTGTGGAGCATTCAAATGCCATACAGTCTAGTAATGGTTAAAACCCTTGGGTTGTACTTCCTCTGACTAAAATTAAGTATGCACAGTAGAGCTGTCTGCAGTTGAGCCAGTTGTCAGGATTTCCCTTGGGGTCTGTAGTGAGAAGTAGGTGATTACATGGCTCTGTTCATCTGACCTATTTTATACGTCTGCCCTAGAACAAGATGAAAGATGCCCTAAAATGTCTGTTTCTCTGCACTGTCTGTATAAGGAGTGTAGAAAAACCAGCTTAGATGTTAGCCCTGACATGATAGTACTTAATCATGTACTCCCACCCTTGGAGAGTCCGAGCCTTCCCAGCACAGCTGGGGTGGGAGCTGAGTTGAGGTCTGCACTGCAGTACTCAAATAACAGCTTCTGTTTTACAACAGCCTCTCATGGCACCTTCTCATCTTCCTCTTATCTCTTATGTTTTTAGCTAAATGGCAAATGGGAAGGCAGAGTGCAGCAACAAGCACTCTGCAATGCTGTGCAGTCCTTAAACTTAAAAGGAAGTTCTTCTTCCCTCATTGTGTCACCTTTTGCCACAGCAGAATCTAAACAAGAAAATACATAATAAAAATGTTTGAGAGAAGTGTAAAGGATTCATATCTTATGTTGTTTATAACTGTAAGATAATTTTGGAGTCTAAGATAATACTGTAGAAAGAAGATCAATACAAGTTTTATGTAGCTGGGGAGCACCATTAATGTATGGCTGGTTTACTCCATTTACTGTGACTGCTTTACTCCAGCACTGGCAGCTCTCTCTGTGCAACAGCATGTTTCTGTGATGGTAGCAGAGGGAGGCTTGTGTTCATATGTTGATGCTGCAGCTCCAAATTAATTTTCTTTTTGTATTTTAAAGCCAAATTACTGCTCGTCCCATGCCTGCAGTGTATTCTTCATACGTAGAGTGATGTGCATTCCCAAACACAGAAATGATTCTTTGCTGACTGAAGCAGGTCTCTTCAGTCAGCATGTCACCCACTCCATTCAGTTCCAGCTGCTGATGCTGTTGTTTCTACCAAAAATGAAAAAAAGCTGCCTTGATAGTTTGGCTTCTTTAGTTGTGACATTAATGTACAGTAACATCAGCACAGGTTATTGTATGTGATTCTCATTTGGTACAGTATGTTTGCTCAGGGAATGGGTTGAAATTGAAACCAAGAAGGAGGAAACAAAAGAAACAAGCACAGACTTAGTAGCTTGAAACTGATCCCAGAATTCCACATGTAATTACCTGGGTTCTGTATGTATTCCACAATATGGTCCAGGTAAAAACACAGCCAGTATGATATTGCATACAGAGTTCTGAAAACTTACTGTAGAAAACATGACAAGTGAAATGAGGAATTTATAATGCTCAAGTACTTGCCATTTGTGAATACAGTTATTGCTGCATTTTCCCCCCAGGCCTCAAATAAACAAACTTGACTCTGCTGATGCTTTCAAAGATACTCAGAATCAGAAGTTACTGGAAGACCTCTTCTATGTTGTCTTCTTCCCACACTAATTTTACATATGACCTTTATACACTTGTGCAATAAAATTCAAAGTTTACAAGACTGGAGAATATATTGACCCTTTTTGTGATTTATTTATTTGTTAACTAAAGGAAAAGATAAATGTCTTGTTTATATTCTTCAAATTTTCAGCATGACAAACAGTCTGATGTTAAAATATAACAAAAAAAAATAATCTAATTGCAGTATATGTGGAAGATTAGTAAACCATAGTTTCTAGTGATTTTTAAATTATAAATAGAAGCTGATGTCAGGATCATAATACATATTTTGTGTTCTTTATTAATTTCATCATGAGGCCTGTTTATCTGACTTAGAAGTTCCAGGAAGACTGACTAATAAAGTATATGATACTATGTGCTTTGAGAAATAAATTTTTCCCCTGTAAAAAAATGGCCTTCCAAAATATTTCTAAAGTACTTCCTTTTAAATTTCTTTGTAGCAATGCACTTAGAATCAATTTATTTCTTCTGGTGACAGGTCACGGACTTCGGCTTTGCAAAAAGAGTAAAAGGCAGAACTTGGACGTTATGTGGGACTCCAGAATACCTGGCACCTGAAATAATTCTCAGCAAGGTACTTTGTCTTGTTACTCAGCCATGCATTTGATGTAGTTAAAGCTTCTCACCCAATTATCAAGCTCTGAGGGATAAAGAGTTGCTGATACTTCCAAAAATTAAATCTTGATTAGTTAATTGACAGATGACACAAAATGCAGTCATTGCATTGTAAATATTTGTTCAGTATGCCAAAATTTATGCCAGATAAGGAATTTTCACATAACTGTACCAAACTTTCTTCATATGCTTGCCATGTAACTTATGAGGAGCAAAGAGATTTAAAGATCCTGTAATTAGGTTATTTAACTAACATCCTTATCAGAAGAACAGATCTGAGTGATTCCATTCTGAAGTGTTAACACACTAGAACAAGAACTCCAGAGGTAACAAGAACTGTATATGGGATAAATCAGTAGTCATTACATAACTAGTTGCAGTTTCAGGTTTAGGGCATTTGGCATCAAATCAAACATGACAATCCACTGTTTTTACACATAAAGCACATGCAGTCTAAGCTGACTGTAGATCTGTGTGTCCATTACTTGCATTAAGTGTTCCAACATTAAAAAAAATTATTTATCCTATAGCTGTTCAACTGCAACACTGTATGTTTTGCAAATGGAAAATATAGACCTGCTTATGCTATAAAACAATCATAGTGCATAATATTAAAGTACACATTAAACATGTGCTTTAATTAATACCTTTTACAGATTGTCAGAAGTGAACAGAAAATACTTCTGTTTGGGGAAAAAATGTTTGTTGGTTGCATGTTTTTCTCCCCTGCACAGCTAAAACAGCAGAAAAAATTACAATGCATCTACTGCAATGTCTTCACAATGGATTTTCCTGAAAGACTGAGTCTCAGCCCTGAGCTTTGTAAAAAATCTCAAAGAACATATATGAAATTAATGGGTTTGGTGGTTTCTTTGTCTTTCATAACATTGAATAGGACCTACTAATGGTTTAAGGTTCAGGCTTTTAAGATCAGATCATAAATGACTCTAACAGCTAATTAACTAAACTTCTAAGTTCTTGTAGCTGGTTAACTACATATGAAACTGAATGTTCCAAAATGTGGATAATCAAGCAAAATGGCAACAATGTACAATATAGGAAATGTTATGTATGTTGTTGTAATGAAATTTCCTTAAGCTTTGAAGAATTATCAGTCTGTAAAAAATTGTTTTGATTTTAAATAAATAAGCTGTGCCCATTTACCCAGGAGTGTAAAGAAATCACTGACACTCATCACAGGAATGTGTGCAAAATGCTTTAATTCCATCCCTATTTCACTGTCATTGCTGTGTTAGGTTTTAAGTGTACTGCTGTTAGAATCGGTGAATGCCAATTTGGTTGGTGACAGGTTGCAGGTTCTGCATTAAATGAACAAAAATGTATTTGCTTTCTTTGTATTGCATAAATACATAGATCTATACTGAAAATCCTAAGCTGTGTTAGAACCTGTACTAACAGTGGCATGTTTCATCTCATTCAGGGTTACAACAAGGCAGTGGATTGGTGGGCACTAGGAGTGTTAATCTATGAGATGGCAGCTGGATATCCCCCATTCTTTGCAGATCAGCCCATTCAAATTTATGAGAAGATTGTGTCTGGCAAGGTGGGTTATGGCTCTGGGTGTTTCCACAAACACAGTTGTTTTTATAGAACCTGGGTTTTGGTAGAGGAGATGCAGAATTCACTGGCCTCTAGACACGGAGCAATTTGAAAAGGACCTAAGAGAAGTTTGTAATGTATGTTTCATAAGTACAGACATTGTTACTTGAAAACCAAAGTTATAAAAATCTGTTCCCTGCCTTCAAATTTAAAATGTAAGTTACTAAATTTACAGACATTGTGGTATTATATCCTTTTATGCTTGGATTAAAGTGATCCAACGACTGTTAACTACTTAGCTGTGTGCTTAATTTGCCTAGCTATTTTCTATAATTTTTTTTTTGCAATTTTTGAGAAGCCCTGAAGAGCTTCCATCACTCCTAGGTCTCTTTACTTCCACAGTCTTATAGGTAGACATGTCTAGTGTTGTTTGGCTTTCATTGTTATATAAAATTTTTGAAAAGTGTATCCAATGTTTCCCATTTATTTTTCATTAATATCTTTTAGTGTGCTGGATAGCAGCAAAATGTAGTCATTCTGTTGTTTCCCTGCCAGCCAGTGTTGATTCTTTGTGCTCACTTGATTTGTTACAGTTGTTCTCTTCCTTGCCCCTGCACAGACACATGCTGTGCTGCATCTCGGGTGCCTCTGTAATTCCAATCAAGGGCAGTACCTCAGCAGGCCTGTGGTGCCCTGCACTGAGGTTGATTCTTATTTAATAAAGAAGGTGATTGGTGGTTGCTCTTTGAAAGGTTTAATGTTGTGAAGCTTCAGCTGTGTCCATGAATATATGGGAATAAATTTACCAGGACATATTTTTAAAGAAATCTTTTTCTTCTAAACTAAAAACAAAACCTTAGGCAGTTTTTGTAGTTTTATCTAATTGTCTTGACATCTGTAAAACATTATCTACCTTTTTTACTGAGTCCATGGATGCACTACAGCAGAAATAGTACTGGACATCAGCTCTAGAGACTGCAATTCAGTCCTCAGCTAGCAGTTGTTTACAACCTGGGGTCTTTCATTTATTCTACCTCATTTGCATAGTTCTCTACAAAAATTTGAGTTAATATTTCCTTACTTCTCAGTGGTCTAGATAGTATAGTCATTAAACCTGTGAATTTCTCATAATCTACAATAGAACTATATTGGTAGATAAACTGAAGCAGGGTTCTTAATATCTGGACTTCTTGATTTTTTAAAAGTTTTTATGTTAAGTAATTCCATGATCTATATTTACATCATAACTGATCAGCTCAGTATCAGGAGTGTCAAACACTGAGACTATGAGGATGACAAATACAGCTTTCTGCCTGTTCTTTTCCCCTTCCTTCTCTCTGCCAACTCAAATGGTGTCAGTAGATCATTTGTTAGAAAAACCCTTTGTAATTACATCCCACGAATCATCCTCAAATATCCTTTAGCCAGGTTTGAATGAATTGCAAGTCACTAGTGTGCTGTCTTCAAATAGTGCTGTTATGTAAGGCTTCTGATGTTGGTGCATTTAGTTATGAGAAACAGATTGCAGTACAGCATGAAGTTCCAGATTGACTTTTCATATATGATTGCTGAATGTACAGTTATTTCAGAGCATATCTATGTATTTATATGCTGTATATATGCTATATACTGTCTCCTCTGTATATGTATATATATAATATAATCTAAAAATATATATCTAGAAAATAGCTGAGACTCTCTTGAGATGATGTGTTGTTAAAACACCAAGTTCAACTTAGCTTTTAGACCACTGTTACATTAAATTAATATCTTGCTCTCTAGAAACTTCCAGTTCAAGAAATCATAAATAGGCAATGTAATGCTGCTGATGAAGGCTTTGTGAAACAGAAATGCATGTGTAACAATAATCATCTCTCTCTTCATGCATTCCTGCGTGATTTGATTTTAGAAGAAAGATAGAAAATTGCCCTACTGTTTCCCTTTGTGTCAAGTTGTTTCCCTTCACAGGGGAAAGAATCAAATTTGTATCATGTTTTTTAATGTTATGGGTGTATAATTTTAGGTGAGGTTCCCATCACACTTCAGTTCAGACCTAAAGGATCTTCTAAGAAATTTACTCCAGGTAGATTTGACCAAACGATATGGAAATCTCAAGAATGGTGTAAATGACATAAAGAATCACAAGTGGTTTGCAACTACAGATTGGATTGCCATTTATCAGAGAAAGGTAAGACCCTTCCTGATCAAAACTACTACAAGTCTTTAAAGGATTGAAGCAAAGTTTCTAATTGTTGTGTTTAATTTCCATTCTCATTTCCATTCTGTGACTTCTTAATTGAGAAAGGGTGAAAGTAGTTTAATCTTTTAAGGTTCCAAAGGATATGTATAGATTGAATTATGTTTGTTTCTTCTGTGTATTCTAGCCTGGACCTCTGTGTACATTCACGTTCTCTTTAACACACATGTTGTGCATTAGTCTATTTCTGGATTATCTCAGGACAAGGCATCTCCTGCCTCTCTCACTTTTTATTTAACCCCTGCTATAGTGGCATCTATAAATACTCCTCCACAGCAGAAATGAATTTGTTTTCCTTTCCAGCCAGCACTCAGACTGTACTTCAGTGTGGAGAAGCTCATGCCAAAGCTAGAGCTTCTTCTTTTCTCCTAAAGCAACCTGCTCTTTCTGTAAAAAAAGCTAGAGATAAGCGATAATATTTAAAGAAATTGGTTTGGATTTGAAATGCTAACAGTCTTGACTATAGAGGCATGAACTTGCTGCTGTAACAGCAGTATTTTAAGGGCCAAACCTGAATACTAACAATAGTTTATAAAAGGAAACTGGTTGTTTGGCTACACAAACTGACAGTACAATTGTTGAATTATTCACTAATGTATTAATTACTAGAAGACAGGGTACAATTAATGCATCCTGTATTCCTTGCATTAAGTATAGATATTTTTAAGAAAATATTCCCCATTGTGGAATTCTAATTATCTGCTCTTCACTTTCTTAATGCTCTTTGCAAGGAGGCATTATATGCTGCAAGATTCATTTGCCAGTATGCTGTTTGGGAACACCCAGGCCCCATAATATTAACAGTGTTTTAATACTGTGTTAAATACTCTTAGCATTGCTAGTGTACTGCTATAGTGAATTACTTTCACATAAATAAGAAATATTTTTAAATGTTAAGAAGTAGTAGAGTCAGAATAACTATTACTAAATTTAAAGGTTGTGAAAACTGATACTGAGTAAGTTTGAAGCTACCAACTATAAAGAATAAATATTGTAATAGGGTCTGAATCAACAGCATGGATTGTAATGTCATTCAAGTAGTCACAGAAATACAGCAATAAACCTTACACTGATACTAGTTTTTCACAGTGGCTGTTACCACAGCATATATTCTCCTGAATAAACCTAGTGTTCCATTAGCAGCTAATGTCATGTGAATGGTTTTGGGGGTTTATTGGGGTTTATTGTTTTTTTGTTGTTGTTGTTGTTTTTTGTTTGTTTGTTTTTGTTTGGGTGGGGTTTTGGTTGGTTTTTGTTTATTTGTTTGCTTTGGTTTTTGTTGTTGCTGTTTTGAGGGGTTTTTTTTAATGCTATGGTCATAAGTAAACCAGTCAATTACTTCATGTTTTGGATACAGAATCACAAAATTTGCTGATTTGGACGGGACCCACAAGGATCATCCAGTCCAACTCCTGGTCCTGCACAGGACCCCAGAAGTCACACCATGTGCCCAAGAGCATTGTCCAAACACTTGTTGAACCTCTCAGGCTGGTGTGGTCACCAGTGCCCTGGGGAGCTGTTCCAGTGCCCAAACACCCTCTGGATGGAGAAACTTCTCCTGATATCCAACCTAAACCTGCCCTGGCACAGCTCCAGGCCATTCCCTCGGGTCCTGTCCCTGTCACTGAGCAGAGATCAGTGCCTGCCCCTCCTGTTCCCCTCTCGAGGAAGCTGTGACTACAGTGAGCTCTGCCCTCAGGCCTCTCCAGGCTGAACAGACCCAGTGCCCTCAGCTGCTCCTCACAGCTGCCCCTCAAGGCCCTTCACCACCTTTGTTGCCCTCCTCAGGACACTCTCATAGTTCAATGTCTGACATTGTGGCACCCATTGTGGCACCCATTGTGCCCCCAGCACTGGCGGTGAGGCTGCCCCAGTGCAGAGCAGAGAGGGACAATCCCCTCCCTTGCCCTGCTGGTGATGCTGTGTCCCATTTGAAAGTGTTTTAAAGTTCAAGCAGTAAATGAGATATTTTCTGTGCTCTGAGTTTTGCTGTAATAAAGTAACTGAAAATCAGTTTAAGAAGACACAGAGACAGAATTCAGATACTGGTAATGTGTGCCTTTGTAGGCTGGATATGTACACAGACTGTGTTCACTCAGGCTAAATCACTGAAACATGTATCTTGTTTTAAGAATAGGAGGATATACATGTGACAATTGCACGCACAAATGCACAAGTTACTGTTATTTCTTGGCAGTGTATAATGGTATTGCCCACAGTCTGGAGTTTAATATTGTTAGTCTGTGCTGTACCTCTTAAATTTACTGATTTAAACATGCAACACATCCCCACCATCAGCATCTACCTGGGGGCACAGTGTGGTGTGATGCTTTGCCTCAGCTGGAGATGTGCCTGCCCCATTTCATTGTCTCCCCACCATTCTGCCTCTGGCACATCTACTCCTTGAGATGTTTGGGAGAAAGATACTGATTACTTTCTGTTTCCAGGTTTAAAATTGCATCACCTGCATAATTTTTTGTAATTTTGCTTACCTGATAGTGCAGTCTTTGAGTGACTCCTTCAAGTCATTGCTTGTGTCTCATTGTGGCCTAGTTTTTAGAAGGCTTTCACTTCTCACTTAGCTCCTAGGAGAAACTTCATAAAATATGCAGAACAAATTCTTTTCCACTTGAATTAGGTTAGTTTTTGTTTGGAAATAAAAGATTGTTTTCAAGTAAGAGGGAGAGGCATTCCAAACTTTCCTAAGATTTTTGTGTATTGGTGGTGGCAATCAACGTACTCCATGTCTATGCTAATGAGCTGGAAGGAGCAGCATCACCTCTGCAAGGAGGGGACTAATCTTTGAGTCTGTCAGCAAGAGATTAATCTTTTCCAATTTAGATTCACACATCTAGGCCTCTACCTTCCTAGGTTGGTTTTGTTTGTGCCATGACTTAAATCTGTAATACCTGATTTCTTGGTAGGATGTGAGAAGTAATGGGAGTATTGCTGTGCTCATTATTACAACGTTAAATCTATTGGTATTTGGCCAGTAACATTTCATTTGCCTTTTTGTATTTCCTACCAATACAGGTAGAAGCTCCATTCATACCAAAGTGCAGAGGTCCTGGAGATACCAGCAACTTTGATGACTATGAAGAAGAAGATATTCGTGCTTCTCTAACAGAAAAATGTGCAAAAGAATTTGCTGATTTTTAGTAGGAGTAAGAGGACAAGATGACATCAGGGCTCACATTGGGATCTTTGCACTCTGTTAACAGATGAGGTGGAGCTGAGACCATCATATGTCAAAACAGTTACCTAGTTACTTCATTCCACAAAGCTGACTGAGGTCTTTATTGCCATCTTCCATGTGTGCAGTTTGCACCAACCCTTCTAACTAGGCACAATTAAGCAAGCACTGTTTGTGCAGTAACACAGAATAATAGACCACTTTCCTACTTAACTTTGGTTTCTGTCGTTCTTTGTTTCTGTGTATTGTTCATTTTCCCCCTTTGAAATGAAGTAGTTTTTTACCCAAGAATGCTCCATTTTATTTTGAATAATGTATTATTTGTGTGAGTGAAATGGAAGGTGTTGCGGCTAGTGTGATTTAGACTGAAGTGAAAGATAAATGTTGCTTCTAGTCTGTGCCAGCCAATAATTCATGTCTGTCTTGTGTCTGATGCTACAATTTATAATAATTTTTTAGTAGCTCAGACTAAACCTAGCCAACATTTTTAGCATTTTTGAAGGTAGTATTTATCGCCATATAAATGTCTGCTAAATTAACTTAAAAACATTTCTTCTTGGAGGCTGACCAAAATTCAGTAGAATCAATTGGATGGCTTAAGTAGGGGACAGTAGCTAGACCCCGTGCCTTGGTTTTCTACATCCCTGCAGTTTTCGTCACTGCCTCCTTCCTTTGTATTTCCCACCTAGGCAGTAGGCGGGTTGCCATAACCAGACTGTACCATGGAAAGCTTGCAGTCTCATGAGAGGGAGTAATTCCACCTGGTCTGCACTTTGGACCATATTAAACCAAGTCAACTTACCAGCATTTCAGTTGGCAGGTGTGAAATGGCTTGTTTAAGATCAAGAACCCTAAACTCTTAAAGGAAGTTTTGGTCAGTACTGTAGAGAATTCATTTTGATTCACTTTTTCTTCTTCTGTTTTTTTCTTATTTTTTTAAAGTAGCCAATGTTTCGGCTCCCAAAGTATTCCTTGCTTCAAGCCTTTTTTGATTAAAAAAGGCATCCATTAGAATAAAAACCATCATGCCACAGAAAGCAAAATGCGCTCTGCCATTAGCTATGAAAAACAAATGGTTTAGCAAATGCAAAATAATGTTCTAGATGCATCGCTGGATGAACACGGTTATTTTTTGTTAGCTGTTAAGAATAAGAGGTTATTGCCAAGTTTTTATTCTGGTATACTATATTAGTAAACTGAGGATGGAGTACTGCTACAATCATTTTCTTTTTAATTACAGCACTTCATTCATGAAGAAAAGAGATCAAGTTTAAAAACTGCAACAGCTGAGTTTATTTTAGTTGCGTTGTGTCTTCATTTCTAACCTACTTTCTTTCAATCAATCAGAATGTATGGTCACACAGATACAAGTATTTGGGTTTAATTATGTTTTGTATACTCTCACCAACTGACTTAAAAGGTATTGCTACCATGTGCTAGCTTTGGGCACTTTTACACATTTATTTCAATGTTAATAATCAGCGGCTCAGCACTTTTCTCGGGGTTGCTTTTAAACTTATTCATAGTAGTTTTATTTGAACACTTGGTTCTGGCTGTCTCAGTGACCTGTCTTAAAACAGCACATCTAAAAGTTTAAACTAGACTCATGTTTTATGATAAATTTACATGCATACAAGGATGAATTGTTTTTTTAAAAAATGAGCTATATTGATACATAGCCATTGGATTTGTTTGAATGCCAGTGCAGATAAACAGCTGGCGTTCCTTCCTTTTAATCTGTACGACGCTCCTAAAAGAAAGGCCTTTGTAGACATTTTACAAAAGAGTATGAAACATACCACCCAATGTTCTGTCTGTTTAGGTTGTTGAGCATTTTTGCACAACGTCATTAGGAGGCTGACACTGAATGCAGTCTTTGTCCACCCATATTTACATACATGCAAGAAAAGTATAAGATACTTTGCTGTAGCAAATTTTATGTAACAAAGATATATCGTCACATTAATAAATTTAAAGAAATCCTTTGTATGAAAATGTTAAAATCTTTTGTATTTCATTTAGACCAAGGACATGCTGCTGTATGCTAGCTGTATGCGATAAATTCTACAGTAACTTTGTTGTCGTTTATGAACTTTAAAAGATTTTAATAAATGTTGAAGATCACAATTTGATTCTGTTATGATTTTAATTTTTAATCATTACATTTATAGTTCTAGAAAGGTTCAAAGATTTTTCTGTTCTGTAAAATACTGTAATCATTCATCTGGCGTGTACAATAAGACAAAAGTCTAGGAAATTGGTTCTGACATGTCTGTCTGATATCCAGATTAAATTCTACACGGGCATAAGTGGAAAAGTCATCATAATGCCATGATATTATGCTATTTTTTAATTTTATGAAAATCCTGTTAGAAAGTAAAACACTTTTCCAATATGGCATAATAGACTTCAGTATGGAAATGAGATTCTATTTTGGAAAAGGAGGGGAAGTGTGCAATTTCCAAGGCATTAGTGAGTACATTTGACAATGTGAGTATTATACAACCCTCTCATTTAAACACAGTCATGAAATATAACTACAGAATATTATGTTACCTGTATTTAATTTGAAAAATCCTTTTCACAATATGGAAAAATTGTATATCTATGACAGTAGAAGCTTGTTAATTTTACACATTTGAGGAATTAAGTGTTGAACTATATGGTATATTTTAATTGTACTCTAGTTGTATGTAACTTTCATTTCCAACATAAAGGATTGTATCTCATTAAGTAAATTGCTTTTTTTATTATCTTGTCAGTTGCATTAAAACCCTTATTTTTAAATCCTTTAAAGTATTTTACTAATTTTTGCAAATAATTAGATGTTTTTAAGTGCTGCAATAGTGTGCAATAGTAAACATTTATATACAGAAGTGCAAATTAAATTATGTACAACACTTGTGCTGCTTCTTTGTGAATCAGAATGTTGTATGATGACAGTTGTTGCACCTCCCCACATGTGAGCAGAGTTTGAGAGCAAGAGGAAAAGGTTATGAAACCTACTACACGTATGAGTTGGGGCACAGTAAGCTTTACACTAACTAGGGTGTCTGGAGAAGGTGATGTGGAAAACATTAAAGGCACTATGAGAAGTCTTGGACTTCTTAGACAATCAAAAGCAAGCAAGGTGATCATTAGCTTCAGTATTGTTTGTCTTCATTTTATTTTCATTCAGACTCAATGCTTTTTATTAAAAGATAATTGCCTGTTTTTAAATTGTCTGCAGATCCCGCTGTACAAACTTTGTGCTGTGTCTCATTGTGCTGTGAAACAACTGATAGAAGTAAAGACTGTTCATGGTCTTGGCATTGTTTGTCTTGAGGCTTTTTCTGCAAGTGGTGTTTGGAGAGGCTCTGGTGCCTGCTCTGTAATGCAGCTCCTCCTCTTCCCACTGTGTGAGCCGAGCTGTGGCCTCTGTGCTTCTGCTGCTGTGCGCCTGCGACTGCAGTCTTGTGTTCTTGGTTTCCTGGTACCACTGCTACTTACATTTTAAAGACCTTTGTACTTTTTCTAAAGCTCAGCTAAAAAACCTGTGAAAATACTGTCTTCTGCTTTTACTACAGCTCCTAAACAAGCACAGCATGCTGAGCCACAGATTTGAAGGTGTCATTCAAATCTGTTCTGATTTCCTGCATAAGGAGGACTTATCCCAGATCAGAATTGAAGAGCCATTCCATAAGAAACTGGTAAAAAACCAATTCCATTCTCTAGCTGAGGTGCATATAGCTGATCTGGATCTGTTTGATGATATTAAAAAAAAAAAAAAGAGTTTGACCACCACAGTTTTACAAGTGTGGGTCTTGCATACATTTTAAAAATGTTTTTAATGGAAAGGTATTTTCACGAGGTATTGACTGATTTAAGTTCTTTAACAGATAGGTAAAATATGAGCCCCTAGCTTCAAGCTGGGCAGTAAAAGGGTTAGAACTCCACAAGGGCGTTTAAATGCCTTATAGATAGTAAGTGTTTGTCATCTTATGTAGGGATTATGTGAAGTGTTGGATTTTTTTAGAAGTGTAAGATGGGTACCTAGAGGCAAGACAGGATCTCATGAAATCTTCCCTTTCTAACTTCTGAATTTGATGATGAATAAAAGTATTAATTAAATCTGAGATCTAGTCACATTTTTACCTCTTTATTGTTTGGATTTGGGAAGGGGTATTGTATGACAAAAAGGGATGCCTGAAGGAGCTTTGCATATACTGAAAATGTATTTTATTTTTGTAATTGACTAGTACAAAGAATGTAGTCCCTCAAAGGGATAAAAACAGCTTGAGGTTTCTATGACATCATTAGGATCAGTTCCCACCAGTGTTTCAAAGCCAGTAAAAATTCCTTTAGAATCCTTACAGCTTCATTGTGGTGTTCCCTCCCTTGGAGGGTCAAGTACCAATGTCTTTGCAAAAACATATTCTTAAGAATTGTGTGTGTATGGCTCTTTGCTTTGAAGCTTTAAAGAAACATAGTTGTGGTGTTCATTGACATGAGCTGCTGTCAGTAAGCACAAATGGAGGAGCCAGTGACAAACTTGCACATTTCTTACTGCTGCCAAGCTCACAGGTCTAGATTGTGATGGAGCACACATTGGCAACACAGTTGTCTGATGGCAAGGCTGCAGCACAAAAACTCTTCAGGATGAAAGGTTGGAGTTTGAGGAGGGAGGTCAGTGATCTGTTCCATCTGTGTGCAACCACAGTAACAGGTGTTTTCCTTTGCTGGGAGGTTGTTATCAGAGACTTCTTCCTTTGCTTTTGCTTCCAAGGTGCTGTGGAAGATCAGAGAGGACACAGCTGTAGCTATGTTGACACAAAGGGAGCAAGGTCTCAACAGCCTGGCAAGCAGTGTGATATCTTCTGAGTGTGTTCAGTAAGTTCTAGGAAAAATTACTGCTGACTAGGGCAACAAAGAGAAAATTGGAGTGCTGGAAAGGCTTGGTTAACTGAAATTCTTCCCCCACCAAGGTGTTTTAATTCAATTCAAGGCAAAAAAAAAAAAAAAAAATCCAAGACCTCACTTAGATTTAGTGGTGTATTAATGCTTTGGTCTACACAGCAATATCACAAGAATACCAAAAGTATTGCTCTTTTTAATTTGTATCTACATTGCTACTTTGAATGTGTATGTAGTTATCTAAATAACAGTTCAACAAAATGAATGCTTGACTGGGAGTCCTTTCACTTTCTCCTGTCTTTGCCATCCTTCTACTTGATGCTTGCATGAACTGGGGATCTGAGTGTCAGGACTCTGGTAATGATAGGTAACACCCTGGACAAGTAAAACATGATTCGCCCATCTCATAGACATGTTAATTCAGGGTAAGCAACCAATATGTAATCCTTTCATAAATGCCCAGTGTTTATCAAGTATCTGTTTTCAACTGCCCCCCTAAAAAAAGGCACACAGTTAATATATTATCTTTATTTCCCTTTTTCTCTGGCCATATTGGGAAGTGGCATTCTCTGGCATTGGGAAGTGTGCATCTGGCAGGTTTGCTTACCAGTGGAAAAACTAAGAGAGGAACTGAGCAGGCAGCCTTAGTAAAAACATCCCATGGAGGCAGAAAGAGGATCCCAGTGGCAGAACATGTGATGTAACCTGCATGTGGTGATCCAGTTTGTTAGTGCAAGCACATGGGTTCATCTCCAGAGTGGTTCTGCTTCCCCAGAACCACTCCAGAGAGCCACCTCCTGAGGCCACAGCACCCAGCTCATGGATTCTGGAAAGGAATTTCAGAGCAAGACTGAGTTTGCTGCAAGGCGTATTTCCTGCCAAGAGAAGTATTGCAGGGAGTGCTGGGAGGAAAATAACTCCCTCAAGTCTCATAAACTTATTTGATCTTTTTTAAAGCCACTCAAGGAAACTTGAAATATCAGCACAAATTTTTTTTCACTTGGGATTTGTGCAACACAAACCTCTGCTTTAGGGCATACCTAGTGTTGTGTCTGAAGTTATTAAACTCGTCTTCATTCTGCTACTACATATTGACTAACAGAACTCTGACTTTTCTTGAAGTTTTTTTTTAATGTTTCAGGTTACTGCAAAATCCTGTCAACTAAAATCATGAAAGGAGATGATCTTTAAGGTCCCTTCCAACACAAAGTATTCCATGATTGCATCTTCAGGAGCTTTCCATAGCCAATTGCTCTAGTTACATTTATTTGCCAGTAGATGTCACATTTACATGGTGTGGAATGCTGTGTAAGAAATGTCAGCTGCAGAGCACAGTAATAAGAGACTTGGAAAGTATTTAAGAGCAATAGGGAATGAAAAATTTAGATTGTACCAGTCACATAATATGTCAGGGAATAATACATGCAATACCAACCATGAGTATTTGTTCTTTGTGTATCAGTAGATTTTGCCTTTAAATCCTTTTTGAGTTAACAGCTGCAATATTTTATACTGGTTTTCACATCAGCATGAGCAAAAAAAGTAGGTTTTGACACTAATTTGAACAAAAGTATTTTTTCATAATATGTATTATTGCATGGACTACATTAAAATTTCACTAAAAATCCCTGATTGATAGTTCCTATTTCAATTTGAAGCTAGAACTAGAGGTGAGTGTCCGTACTCATAGCCCACAATTACATTTCTATTTTATGTGCAATTGAAATTTCAGAAATACACTGTTTTAACCCAAGATGGTCACCAATAAAAATTGAAAAGAGTTCCTATGCTGATTTGTTAAGTAAATAGTATTTATAGTAGAGTGGATGTAAAATTTTGTGTTGGATGGTAATCAAATTTAGATATATCTCTACTAATTATGTTTACAGGCAAAACAACTGTTTATATTTTTCTGAATTATGTGATCACCAGAGCAGTTGGAGAACAAGTTACAGCAAATGTGCTCTTGAGAGCACCCGTGATCAGAGCATCATCAACCAATTTAAGAGCTGAGTAAGTTTTTAAATGATCAGTTTAACTGTTACAATCTTAATGCAGAACTGTTGAATGTCATGTCTGCTCATGTTCAGATGCATCTGGGTTTGGTTTATATCAAAGGAGAGAGTAGAGGGGGGAACAGGGTCATCCAAAGTGTGACTGGAACATTTGCCCCCCCTGTAACAGAGCTTCCTTTCTTGCAGTCTGTTCTGGCAACCACTGTCCTACCAAAGCACTGTGTGCATGCTTTGAGCTTGCACATTGATACACAAATCATAGGGATGCCATTCCTTCTGCTCTGCTCACAGTTCAGTGCCTGAGAGCACACAGAGACCTGTAAGTCCCCCAAACAGAAGCAGTGAGTGAGACCCTTGCCTGGGTCTGAGATGCTTTCCCAGGGCTGAGGAGCAGCATCCTCCAAGGCTGAGCAAAGAATGAAAGTTACACCCAAATAACAACATGGAGAGAAAACGCCAGTATTTGCTGAGACATGGTTGCTTTACAAATCTTAAAAATCTGGATATTTCTGACAGTCAGTTCTTCACTCCCAGGAGAAGAGCTTCCCAGCAAAGTGGGGGGAAAAAACTAGCACTATTTTTTCAATGTATTGTTTGAAATATAGTTGAAATTTCTGCTTGAGTTTTGTTGACACATTTCTGTCTGTAACTGTTTTTCTGAGTGCATCACCATGTTGTGCTCTTTCATTTTCCTCACTTCCTGCAACCAAGTGTTACATTTGAGATTTCCTAGACAGGTAGTTGCTATTTCACTGAGATGTCTGAGCCATGTTTATATAAAATGTTTTTATCAGGCTGGATTCCCTTTAACACTGTTGGTATTTCATATAAATACTTTTTATAAACTTCTTGCTACATTATTACAAGCTGGGCAAATATGTGGCAGGTATTACTGCTAGTATGGGCACAATGAGCTGTGTTTTATACAGTGATTTTTTATTATGAAGTATAAGCTTTAAAATAACAAAGGCTTAAGTCTAGACAGAAGCTTTATTAAATAAGGAGTTGCACAACAAAATAAGTAGGGCAGGAAATTCTCAGTGAAGTGTATATAATTCAGGTGCAGGAAGATTTATTTAAGCAATTCAGTCTTGGAAAAAAGAGGAAGTAAAAGCATAAAGGTGTCACTGGCCTTTCATTCTAGTTAGCTACTGTACACATTCATTTTTAGGCTGTATGAAGCGGGTGCAACTTCAGTCATCTTACTGGAGATACATATGATTATGAGAGAAAGGTCAGGTAATGCACATTGTATCCACAGTACCTTAGGATACTAAAGCAAAGGTTTCAGGGGCTGCCCAGCAGGACAGAAGCCAGATCTTTGCCCCCTGCCTGGTCAGTGAGTCTGAGCAGCGCTGCTCTCCCCAGCCTGCAGCCAGGAGCTGTCACTGACCCAGTGCTGGGCACCATCAGAGCCCCCAGCCTGGCACCAGAGCTTTCCCAGGAGGTTCCTACATATCTATAGACCCTGTTCTTTGCCTTGTGGGAGAGCACCCTGGGAACTGCAGGGAGGGTAAATTCAGGCCCACAGCCTGCTGTGCTCTGATTTGGTGTTTAACACACACCGTAACATAACTGCCTCCAAAATGAATGCCAGCTGGTACCAAGTCACTGCTGCATTCTGGCCAGGGGTTTTCTGCCTCCCTTCCCTCCTCACTTGCTTAACACCATTGTGATCTTTAGGCTTTTGTCTAGGCTTTATGCAGAACTTCAGAGAAACATGACAATACCCAGCCATGCAGAACACCCTGGAAGGCCAGAAGGGAACTGTGAAGAAGACACAGCATGGTTTCTGGAGGACCTTCCTGGCCAAGACAGGAATTGAAGAGAGGCACTTCATTACTGGACTCCATGGGCAGGGAACTGTCTCTCATTCCTCTGTGGAGTGCTGAAGTAGGGAAGGGACAGCAGGACAACAGGTATTAAGTTGTTGATACTTTGGAGCAAGGTAAGTGGCAAAATTCCATTCAAGCAAACTAGAAATACTATGGACAGATGGAATGGAAAATACCTTAAGTGAAGAAGGACAGTTTTCTGAGACTAAAATGCTGAAAAGGTGCAACTGGACCAGTAAGAGGGATTTTTCCTCTTTCTGAGTAGATAGGAGTTGCCAGGAACTGCAGAGAAGACCCTTAGTTACTTTTCAGTGCAAGGATGCCTCAAATCATCAGTACCATATAGGTGTGATAAGTGTGTAGTGTGGGGTAAGGGACCATTCAGAGCAGACTGGAAGGGGAGAAGGTACTGCCAAAACCCTACTGCAGCTACAAATGTCCTCACCTGGAAGGTGAATGTACAGAAAGGAGAAAAGGGGAACAAGATCAGAAAATGCAGACCACAAAAGGGCTGTGGTCATTCAGATGTTTGAGTCTATATAAGAATGTAAATACCAGAGAAACAGAGAGATCAAATATTGCACTTAGCAATATTAAACTAAAGATTATTACTAGAGGAACAAACAGGAATAAACTGTTTCTGTATTTTAAATTGTAGATTAAAATTTCTTAACCCCCTGCAAAGAGGAGCTGGACAGAGCCTTTCTGCAGGGCAGAGTGGGCTGAGATTCCCCACGGGCCCCAAGCCAGCACTGGGTGTGAATGTGCTTATGTGAGGGCTTGGCTGTCATGCCAGGAGATCAAACCCCGTGGCCTGGATAGTCCCTTTCCAGTCTGGTATTGCTAGGAGGGAAGTGATGCAAAAGGATTTTTAGACTGTTGTTAGTAATTGACTGGATGTAGCTATACATTTATTCAGTTTGCTGGGCAACCTGGCGTTTTACACCCATGCCACTTCCACACTCATGACGAAAGTTACTTAGAAACAGCCTGTGCCCCCATTGGATTCCCATGCTGCATTACACGGTCCTGAGCATTACATGGACTTGATGCTTTTTTGGCCGCCAGCCACATCTGCATGAAATCTCTTTGGTTTACTTTCTTCCTCACAATGAGCAGCAGGAACCACAAACTATCGCGGCCAGACCCGAAATGTCTCCCTGAGAACCCAGAGGAGCAGCAGGCACCTTCCACGCTGCGGTTCGGGTACCGGCGGCACCAGCAGCTCCCAGAGGCTGTGAGAGGAAGGCGCGGCCCCCGCGGGACTACAACTCCCAGCAGCCCCCGCGGCTCCGGCGGCTCGCGGCCTGCCTGGAGTCGGCTGCTGAGGGCGCAGGGCTTCCCTCGGGCCCCTAGGGCTCTGAAACATTCGGTCGTTGTTGGCAAAGAAATACGTGTTTTACACGGGGCTAGATCCATTCTACTCTGCATAATGCCACCTTATTGAGAGGGGTTTCCCCTCAATTTCCTGTGTTATTTTCTCACTCAGCTTCCCCAATGGTTTTTTTACCCAGGGCACTGAAAAGAAGGTTCCAAGGGCTTTATTTAGCCCTGGGGAGCTGAAATTCAGTACTCTCTGCACAGCTAGCAGGGTGCTGTGCTCTCCTTTTCCCACATGTGCCGTGCATTTTGTCTTCTACTCTTTAACTGCCAGGGACAAAACAAAAGGATAGGAAGGATTCCAGTAGGAAACTGACATTTTTCAATACCCAGAAAACAGGGTCCAATGGTGTCCGATACCTGCACTGACCTTTGCATGTTTCCCCTCAAGTTCAGACACACACACAGGACAGACCCCTTGACCTGGATCTGCCAACCCTGGTCTCACTTGGTCCCCTGCATGGCTTGGAAACTTCTTCTTTTTGGCTGTAAGCGGGATGCAAATAGTCAAACAAAAGGCTAATTCACTTCTCTGCTTTATCTCCCTCCAGACATAATTTCATTATAATTAAACCTTACGCCAATGAATGAAAATACAGACCACAGATCATATTCCACACTGAATTTTTCCACAACCCATTTTCTTAAAATTCCTCTCTTTTCTGTTCAAGGTCCTCTAGAAGGAATGCATGCACTGTGTGAGCCTCACTTCAAATACTCAAAGGATTAACAGAAGAACATGATGAAAGGGAGAGTGTGAGTAAAATAGCTCGTTTATATTTGTATCCTCAAATGTCAGTTCATTACCAAAGTTAGAAACCAGCTGATGCAGAAAACTCATTATGGCTTCATTTAGAATGTTTATTTCTTTAGAGACAGAAAAGAATTGCCTTGCTTGGCTAACTTGTCCAACACAAATATGCCACGTTTTACAGTACTCTTTGGGATGGGAAGTAAAGAGGGTTTTGTTTAGGGCACCATACACTTAATCCTTTATTTATTTTGTTTATCTGCATTTATTTAAATCCCAAAGCAGTGAGGACTGTTACTGCCCTCTGTTCTCAATGCTTCTGTCGATATTTGAGTGCCATTACTTGCAAAGCTCCTGCAAGCTCTGGTTATTTATCTGACAGCACATAAGTAAGACAAAAGGAAGTGGTTTGGGAAGTCGTGTTTGCAGTCCTTTGCCCAAAAGTCCACTTTGCTGGTAATTTTAGTGCTTGTAAGTGTGCCCAGTTAGCAGTTAGGTGACCTGGATCTCCATGCAGTCTGGGTGCAGTAAGCTTTGTCTGGGAGTGAGATGGATGCAAAGTGCCTGGGACAGCCCCAGGTGCCCACTCTGGTGGCTGAGCAAGCTCTGTCTGTGCCAGCTGGGCACTCGTGTCAGAGCCCTGCAGAAATCAGGCCAAAGTCACCAGTAGGTTCTGTGCAAATCCCCAGGTAATTTGTAATGTCCCCCTTGCATTCCAGCAAAGAGCAGGTGTGTAATTTTAGTGCCTTGACTTGGAAGGAAATTTTTCAAGTACAACATCCCACCAGTTTGAAGTAACCCAGCCTGTTATGGAAAATCAAAAGGTCACAGCACCTGATTAGTGGCTGGGATGCAGCCCTGGCTACAAAGCCCATGTGTGGGGAAACAGGTTGTGTTGATAGTCCTTGCTTGATTTCCCTTGCACTGACAGTGCATCTAGGTAATGCCTACCTGCCACTAGAAAACATCACCAAGCAAGGAAATACTTAAGAGAAAAAAATAGTGTAAAAAGAAAAGAAGAAGTACTGGGTCCAGAAAAACACGACAACTTTTGTATTAAACTCTGTGGGTGATTGTATTAAACTCTGTGGCAATTTTATTGCCAGTGGGACACTTAGTAATTTGTAAGTTCTTTGAATTGATTCTTTCTGTACATGGTCTCCTTGTGAAATGAAGTCTGGAGTTCAGACGAGTAAGATGTGCAGACTCAGTGCCTCCATCTCCTCCCTTTCCCATTGCCGGCGTTGGCACGGTGGGGGTGACTCGGTGGTGCTGTCCTGGGTCACTCCTCTTTCCCATCACCCCGAGCCTGCAGCTGCAGGAGTTCCACAGAAAACCAAGTGTCAGCTACTCACAAACGTGTTGACGAACTCATTCTAGGAATGAATTTTTGTAACTTTATTAATCTGTCAACATCTGGCGGCTCCTACTTCGTACCTTATATAAAATTCCTTCGGCTTGGTACTGCATCCTTCAACAACAAGGGATGTGTTTCCTTTCCGTTACCTTTAACACCCCGCTTGTTAGGAGGAGCAGAAATGTCCACAAGGAGGCCCCAAGAACCTCAAGTCAAGAACCGAGCTCCGATCGCTGCTCTCCGGCCGTGTGCCGCCGGCAGGTCCGTGCCCGCCCATACCGGCCCCGGCGCTGCCCGCGGCTCCCCAGCAGGTAAGCGCTGCGGGGTGAGCCGCTCGGCGGAGGCGCCGCTCCGTGCCATGCCGTGCCGTACCCAGCCCGCCGGCCCCGCGTGCTCTCCCCGCCGGGCGGTACCCGCGGCGCGGCGCCTTTAACGCGGCGGCCATGACGCGGGCGGTCCGTGTGTGGCGGGCGCGTCACGGGGCCGGGCGGGGCCGCTCCCGGTGTCACTCGGAGCCGCCGCGGAGCGCCCGCTGCCGCCGGGGGGCGGGGGCCGCGGGCTCCGCCGCTCCGCAGCAGCCGGTAGCCATGCGCCGGTTTAGTTGCTCGTAGGTAGGTTTTTCTGCCTTGCTTCCCTCGCCCCCAGCCAGGAGTGACAATGTGGTGCAGTGCGAGCGGGTGCCCGGGAGATGCTGAACGCGTGTGGCAGCCCCGGCGCAGCCGCGGGAAGCGGAGCCCCGGGAGCCCCCGCCGGCCGGGCCCGCGGCTCCGCGGGAGTGCCCGCCCCGAGCCCGGGGGCTGCGGGCCGTGCGCGGGGCGTTCCGCAGGTAGGCTGGTGCGGGTGTCGTCTGCAGTCACCTCAGGTGAACCGAGAAGTGATTTCAGGGAATTCGTGGAGTTGTTTGGTCAGCGGTGCAGGAAGAAGCATCTTTTCGATTAGTTTGTTACTGTGCTCTTGGTGCTTTACGCGCTTCTACGTGTATAATAAAGGGTCGTCTTATTTTTTTCCTTTTTTTTCCTTTTTTCCCCCCGCAGCAATATTAATTGCTATTCTCTGTTTTTGCAAAGTTTTAGCTGAAGAGCATGATTTCCCTATTCCGTATCCCAGAGCTTTGAGACATTTCACTGGCATCCGTTAATGCTACAGCAAGAGCATCCTGAGTCCTTGGCCCGTTCTCTGGTGCTTTCTGAAATAGAAATGGCTTACTTGAGGACAGAAGGGAAAGGCTTGGGTTATTTCTGCATGTTCCGTGGAGTGATGGAAAAACTGTGTGGTGCAAGTACTCGAGCGTGCTGCAAGGAAGGAAACAAACTGGATTTTCTCCTGTGCCCTTCATGTGCTCCTTTCCTTTTTGGAGTTCAGTGTAGCATACCTATAGAAGAAGCTGCTCTAGTGTAGGAAGGGAGGTCTTATGATTTAGGCCTCAGGAGTTTGCGGCTCAATTAGTAACTGCTTACCAGCTTTATTTGTACAATGGGCATAAGTGACATGCTCATCTGTATCCAAGTCCACATTTGTAAAACAAGGCTATGGATTTCCAAATCTTTCTAAAGATCCTCCATCTGTTTGGATCCTGTGTATCACAGGAAGACCCATCAAGCTCTTGATACACAGCTATATATTGCACATCAATCTCCTTGTATTTGAATACATACCGTTTGATCAAAATTTTAACACTTGTGAAAAAGATTAAATGTAGTATTACCTTCCTTGATTTTCAGGCAAGAATTATTTCTTGTATTTGAAGCACAGATCAGCTTTCTTTTCTAGTTCATTAGCTACTATCACCTTTGCCAGGCTTCCAGGGAAATCAGTCTTTGACAGCGCTGTTGCTCTCAAGTGGAAACATGCATGTGTCCCTGTAGAATGCTTGTTTCTGTTACGTTACGCTGCGCTGGTCATACTACCAGTTATTAAACACAGCTTTTTTTTTCCTCCCTATCAGTTGCTGAAGTAAAACTTCTATCCTCCCCATGCTAACTGTTGACATGGAAAACAAGGAAAATGGCTCTCTGGATGTCAAAAAGTAAGTGTTTCTTTTACATAAACAGCACATGGATTTTGAATGTAGTTTTCCTTTGAGCTAATGTGGTTGGCAACAGTGCCCATCTCCATCTTTGCACATTTCAAATTCTCCCTGTTCTTAATGACTTCTGTTGTATTTCAGCTTTGAAATAGAAGAGTCCAGGCCACTGAGCTGATTAAAAGTGATATGTGGTAGGACTGTATAGCAATGAAGAGATGTAGAAGATAGTAACTTAGGTCAAGAGTATGTTTTTTCTTTTCCTCTCAACCAGACAATAAAGCAAGTGGTAGCACTGTAGCCAATACTGTGCTCAGCTCACCTGTCTGTCAGTGGCTTTTGCAGAACCAGTGCCTAATGGGAGAAGGGTCCTGTGTGGAAGTTACCTCTCTGTGCCCTTCTCTGCTGACAGCCCACCTGTCTGGGGCTGAGTAGTAGCAGGATATCACTTAGGTGTCAGTTCCCTTCTGAAACAGATACTTTAAGCTGTTTATTGGAGAAGCCTGAAGTTGCTGGGGTTTTATTTCAGACCTAGAGGAGGAATAAGGCAGAGACATGGTGTTCATTGCTCTACAGCTTTCTTTTGTGTGGTAAACTACAGGCTAAGGCATAGAAGTTTTTTGTAAGCATTTATTTAAGATCAGAAATTCTTTAATTAGGACTAGCAATTCTGAATGACATTATGGACTGAGAAGTGACATTCTGTGTGGAAAAATCTGGCCTTGCTGCTTTAGGATTACAGAAGCCATGGTGAGAGAGATGTACACATATGTGTATATATTAAAGGAAAAAAAAGACCATAAGGAAAGATACTAGAGTAAGCTCTTAGTCTGTTCTGTCAAGCTGCAACACTTTGTGCAGCTGCACCTCATTATTCTCTTTCAGATCTCTCTTACATAAGCTGTCCAAGAAAACGTGACAGTGCGTAGGCTACCAGGCACTAGAGTAAGGTAAATCATAATGGTCACTTCAGGCTACTGATAAAACACCTGATTATGAAAAGCATCAAAAGATCTGATGGCAGCCATTAAAATCAGCGTCCTGCCCCTTCACTTGAGATGCTGGCTACACCACACCAACATAAAGAGCACTTTCCTATTCAGTGACTATGAATAATTATCGTGTGTCCCTTAGAAACCACCTTCCCTTTGGCAGGCTGGTTTCTACAATGAGCACTCTGGGGTGGGAGGAGAAAGGAGGCAGTCAAAGCAGGGACAGTTTACGTTTAATCATTTTCCCCAAGGCTTGGGTGATAAAGACTCAACCACTGATTGCTAAGTTGGCCTTTTAGAGTGGATGGAAATCGTATTTAAACTGTGGGACTGTGGTTTCTAGATGAATGTATATTGTATGTATGTGGGCATATCTACAAAGGAAGTATTTGACACTTTCTTTTAGTGCCTATAAATAAGCTGGATAAAATCTGTTTGTTCTCAGCTATATCCTTTCAGATCTTGCTGCTTCTGCCACATGATGGCAATAAAGGCACAGGGACAGTAGTGAAAAACAGACAAGCCTAATTTTCATTCATTGTTAGTGCATCTAGTATACAGCTTCAAAGCCTAAAATGCCAGTCCTCGTAAGATTTTAAAGCATCCAGGATGTGAGGCATAAGCCAGTGTATGGCTAAGCCATGGCTGTTATATATTCCCTTGTCTTGGCTGAAGAATAGAGCCATGTCAGCAGCAGTGTGAGGAGGAGACTGACAAAGTCCACAAGCAGAATAAGCCTCTGTGTGGGTAGATGGGTTAAAATCCAGCCAGCCTCCAGCAGTCTGCCACATGCCTTCCAGTCTTCTGCAGCTGTAGCTGTGGAAATTGGCTCCACTTGGGGTCCAGCATGATGCTATTCCTTGAGGCAAGAGCTTGCAATTAATTCCTGTGATTAATTAATGACTGAGGTAGAGCCCCTGAAGTCACTGCAGTTGAGCCCTGGATGGGGCTGGACCCAGACCAAGCTGCAGCTCACTAGTGATAAAAGAGGAGCTACAAGAAAAACTGGAGCACTTGGACTGAGATAAAAAATTGTGGAAGGAGGGTTTGGGGCCATATTTAATTTGAAATTAAAGTGTTTGAAGAAGTAAGTTAATTACAGTTAGGTGATATTTTTACAGACTGAACCTTTTATTTGCTGTTTAGGAAGGGTTAAATTCAATTTGTTTGGTTTTTTAACTGAGTGGTTTGCATTTAGTTTATTTTTTTTTTTTAGTAAAAAATGAGTAATTGAAAGTGACAGTCCATGTCTTAAGGAAAATGCAAAGATTTAAATATAATTCCTCTAATGCTGCTTTTATAAATAAGTGTAGATTTTGTGTGGCGGTTTTCACATTTTATTTCTTAAGCCTCAGAATGTGGACAACACCAAAAAATCTTATTTGAAAGGCATTCTTTGATTTAAAAAAAAAAAAAAACACAAGAAAAAAGTGCAGCTCTGATAAGACCATATAGCCTCATTTTCAATTTTGCTGAGTATTGCTTTCTGTGTAATCACAATCAGTAAAGCAATTCATGAAGTAAGTCATCATGTGATGAGCAAAAGTAAGAAACAGCTCCTCATTGCTGAGAGATCTGTGATAAATGAAAGAAACTGCTTTTAGGAGGCCCAGTGTAACACAGGCTGCAGATGGTCCCTGTGGTCAGATTTTGTTGCCATGTTGACAGACACATTTCAAGAGTTTGGGGACATGCAAAAATCATTGTTTCCATGAGTCCTCTTTCCCAGGACTCAGATAGTTGTAGGAATAAGAATGTTATAGAAATGGCGATGGGAGGCACTCTGTGTATGGATTGCATCTGGCTGCTTTGAAAAATGGTCTGCCCTTGATTCACCCAGTTATTTTGCTGAAAAACAGACAAGTCTAGGCAAGGCAGAGATACTGACAGTTGGAAAAGAAAAAAATTGAAGGACAGAACAAAAATATTGTCAGGAGAGTATAATCTGTGTTTCTTTTCCAGCTGGTGCTGTTGAAATCAAAGTCCTGCCTCCAAGCTTCAGACAAGAAAAAGGACAGGATTCTGACACCTGCCCTAATCTGTACATTTTCAATATTGCTTCATGAGCATTATGGTTAAGCAAGTATAATGATGGGAATATTTGGCATGGACTTCAGGACTTCTGGTTGAGGAAACATGTTAAAGAAGCTCTCTCTTTGATATCTTGCTCTTCATCCTCATAAATTGCAGTAGAACAGGAAGTCAAGCTCACTATGTGGGGTTTTTTTTACCAAAAATTTTCAGATACACCATTATGTTTGTGACAGGGTGATTGTAGTTTGAGGAAAAGAAATGCAGGATAAAGATAAAAATATGAATTTTTTGTGGAAAACAATTGCCTGAGGTTAATCACAGAAGGAATTAATTCTGATTGTGTTTAACAGATGTTTTCTCAGATGCACAGCTATTTAAAAAGTCCATAGATTTGTCTAAAGATGAGTCTAACAACAGTTTTGGGAAATTTTCTATATTGAGAATTAGTTCAATCATTTGGTGCCTTTTTTTTTGTTTTGGTTGGGAAGTTCTGTTTGTTTGTTTGTTGTTTTGCAAGGTAAAGATGCCTAGCAGTAATTTCTACCCATGTTACAAGGACAGTCTCATCTGTGTAAAGAATAATCCACATCTAATTCTTTAAGTACTTGGTAGCTGAAAGCAAGCTGCAGGCTATGAAGGCAGGAGTTTGGTACCCCAGGTATGGCAGTTCTCACTCTCCAACAGCAAAGACAGCACACTTGTATGAAGATCCAACTGATTGCCTTTGGCTGATGTGAAGATTCATATACTTTCTTCTTTTCTGAAAGGAGAGGGGTCTCAATTTTCCCCAGCATGAGGTGGAATGTGAAAGAACAGGAGACACTGTTCTGTATTGAAGGAGATGTATCCAAGAACACTTTTCCTGCAGAAGCAAGGAAGGAGGGGGGCACACATGAGGCGTGCACAAAGCAGCAGCAGATGTTCTGCACACCTTTAGTGATTACTTGTCTGCATTTGCACTTTGCAGTTCACTAGAGAATGGGAGACCTCTGGATCCTGCTGACTGGGCTGTTACTGATGTTGTGAATTATTTCAGAACAGCTGGATTTGAAGAACAAGCCAGTGCTTTTCAGGAACAGGTAAATCTCTTAGCAAACACCTTTTGACTGCCACCAGTTTCTCACATTGCAAATTTTTGCTGTGAGCCTGGTTATATACTGTAAAATGGGAGAGAAAATCCCACATTAATGGTGGGATTTGAGTCTGTTATTGGGTAACAATGCATGGGACTGTGATCTCTGAGTAATGTAGTAATCTCTCTTGTTCTGCAAGCTATGGATAATGAGTTGGAGTTTGTTTAAGATAGGATTCAGAAAGGTGAGAAATCTAAATAAATTTTCTGGCTTGAACTAAGTCTCCCTATACAACCCACTCAGTTTCACTGTCTTGTTATTTAAAATGTGAATGGTGTTTAAAATGTGAATACCCTTCTTTCTTAGTGTATTGTGTAATTACACTCATGAGTATTTATAAAACCTGGGGCTCCTAAGCAACAATGTGAGTGTGAAGGCATAGGGTGACAAAGGGGCTGCTGTGTTGCACTGAACTTGGCAGTACAAGTGAATATGGAAAGGACAGATTGGCACTAAGTTGGCAGAGGAGCAGCATTTTTGTAGGATTCAGTCTGAGAAAAGGTTGGGTCTTTGTTTGTGGGCCCTGTAACTGCTGATACTGATGGGAGGCTTCTGCTGGTAGATTAGGTCAGAGCTTAAACAGTCAGGTGGCCCATTGGGACTCACCTGCCGGCAGCTGGGGCTGTGTGCTAGTGGGGCAGGCTTGGGGAGTCAGCTTGCTTGGCCTACAGCCCCCCCGTTCCATAGAGAACTAACTTACATCATATTGCCACTTCAGCACCTCCCCAGATTAGTCTGTAGGCTTGCGTGTGACTACCAGCAAATCAGTCACCCCCACTTGTAATTAGTTATCAAAATAGATGGCTCAACCTTCCAAGGTACTGAGCTGGTGCAAGTTACTGGCAGCTTTGCAGGGAGCCTGTCCTTGGCCCCTGAAATAACGTCGTGGTTGGGCAGGGTAATGTTGCTGACCTTCAGCACCCGGTCTCTGAAATTCAGTCTGATTGTAACTGATGCATATTACAAAGTATCTCAATTCAGTTCTTTGTTCTTGAGGGTGAAAAGCCTGGTGTTGGGTGATTCTCTAGCAGGCTGCAGAGAAGGTTCTTTCTGCAGCTGCTGCTAGTTTTTCAGAATTTGAAGATGAGTGAACAGGCTAAAAAGGAAAATGTTTGAGTGTGTCCATTCCTTAATACCAGCATCCATCTCACAAAAGCCCTGGAAATGTGGCTTAAAAACGACACAGGCAAAGTAATTGTGGTCTCTGGGAGTCTTTTCCTTATACTGACAGATACCTCTGGCTTCCATCAAATATCTCGACCTCTTTGCCTCACAACTGGCAATTATTGTCAATAATATTGAAATAATTACTACTGATTTTGCAGCAAAAAGGTGAGGCTGATTTCTGAGTTTTGACAAATCAGTCTGCAACAGCAGCCTTGTAGGTTTTATTAGTATTTTGCAATGAGTATAAGTGGTTTCAGTAGGGTAACTGAGGACTCTGCTGGGACAGCCATGTGCAGAAATGTGGCTGTGATTCCACTGCCAACTTCACCTTATGCTAAAACCTTGCAAAGAGAGGCTGACAGCTGCCACCAGGATGTGGCCAGGAGCTGAGGGATGGATAATTGCAGCAGAAGTCATTGCCATTTCCTTCTTCCTCTCCATTAGCAGCATGAGGAGCAGCAAGTGCCTGGTTCTACGTGCCAGGTTTGCCAGCCTGTTCCCTGTCTGCATCAAGAACAGCCCCATAAACAATCCTCTCCCTAACTTCTTATCAGTGGTGCTGCCAGTTTCTTCTACACTAACTGCTACCACTAACTTTACCTGTGTTCTTACAGTATTTTTGTCAGGATCTCCCAGGTATGGCAGTGCAGACAGGTTCATTTTGAACCTTAGCCATCCTCTGTCTATACAGCACCAGGCATGCAGCTGCAATTCTGGCCATCTCTATTTTCCTCTGTCATTTGCAGTTGCCTGGGCCCCAGAAACCCAGTTTCATTTGATCTACTGCCCTGAATATATCACTGGAAGAGGAATGAGATTGTAAGCAGTAAAGGAAAGTATTCAGTTTCACCTACAACACTGGGAAATTGTTTTCCACTGAACTGCTTCAGTAGGGGTAGCACAATGGTTTCCTTAGGAAATATCCTTAGCCCAGAATGTAATCATGACATCTTTTATTACACTGAGCTTTTACACAGCAATAACTAGGTCCACACTTTCCTTTGATGAATCTGAATACATCTGGACTCACCTGAAACAAGTGTCTCAAAAGATCTTTAAGACCTGAATTTTTTGTACAATACTTTAAGGATAATTAGGAGACATTTTAAGGGCTGCAGAATGTTTTATTAACTTCTATTGTAAGTGCTGGTAGGAAGTGATGCTTATATGATAATTATCTGTTATTCCTTCTTGGAGTTCCCTGATGTCAGCAAATCAAAAGAGCTCACTGATGAAAACAGATTCAGCTGAAGGATGTTGCCCAATAACAAAAATCCATAACATCAGCAAGCAAATCAGACAAGCCAAGAAGTTGAGGACACAGGATATCTGAAGAGGGAGGAGTAGCAGTTGCAGGATGAGGGTGTGGACACTTTCAGAAAAATACAGCCTGCCAATTTGTGGCTGAGCTTTCTGTAGGAGCCCTGGAAGCACAGGGGACTGTGGCTCACTCCAAGACTGAAGCTGTTTATAAGGTCTCAAGTTGTGCTTGTGCTCTGACCTTTGTTATGGCCCATGTGGCTTCTTGAGCATTGTGTTGTGATAGCCAGACATGCCCAGGTGACCCAGTTTGCTGGCCTCACTGCAATGCCTTACCAGAAGGGAAACTGGGGTTTGACATCAGCTGGGGTCCACTGCTGCTTTCTGGCAGAGCCACAGTAGGGAGGAGCACGTGAGTGTGCTGGCTTACTCTAAAACTTTGCATTTCTCAGTCACTTAGAAGGGATGGTGGGGGGACTTGAAGCTTAAGCAATCCCCTGGTTATTTGTTGAAGACAGTGTGATATTGGTGTTAAGGTCATCCTGGCACCTGGATAATTACTGTTAGCTTGACTTGTGCAGAGAAGTTTCTCTGCAAGTAGCATTTAAAGACATACTGACAGCTAGCATTGAAATTGCACCCTGAAAAAAATCCAGAAAATAGAGAAGTAGTGGAGAAGAGATCAGAGAAGTCACCAGAGCATACGAAATCTTACCTGGTGCAAAAAAGGGTGTGACAATTCTGCAGGATCAGGTAAATGTGGAAAACTTAAAGGAAATGAAAAAGGTAAAGCTTACAATTCACACAAAGATATAAAACGCTTGAACTCTGAATATGTAATCACTCCTTCCTACACAGCTGTATTTAAAGAATCAGTTTCCTATTCAGTGGAAGTCTTAGTAGTTACCAGCATTTCTGCAAAACACAGGGAACCCTGTGGAAGAAGAAGGGAAAGGAATAGATGCTTTTTTCCTATTCTTGGAGTTTCTCCTATTCCAGGTACTGGATTTACTCCATTTGGATCCTACCAAGCTGGAGGCTGTTCTTCCTCCATAGCATCGTTGAACAGCAGCAGAAAAGGCAACTTCAGATCGGTCATAGCAATGAGCAAAACACTCACTGGTGTCAAAATTCCCACAGAAAGAATTGTGACGAATGGAAAAGAGAGGATAGAAACTGGTTTTTTCCATTAACATTCTCAACAGTAATTGGAAAGAGGCACCTGCTATAATTGGGTAAAAAGTTATTGGAAACTTTTTTTTCTTTTAGAATTACTGTTACTTTATGCTTCCCTGAGGGATTAGTAGTTGTATACATCTTGGGGATATTTTTAAAAAATGCCGCTTTCAGCTGATCTTTGACTATGTTGTTGTTTGTCCATGTATTTTGTATTTATAAAATTTATCAAAATTTAAGAGAGATCCATCTTGACAAATTCCTGCTGAGCTCTAATAGACGTCTTCTTTTCGTCTTGCATTGTAATCAAGGATTGGATCTCTGATATTTCCAAGATAATAGAAGGGAGTGAAGAGATGTGGATTCTTTCTCTTCCATTTTGAGTTTAAAAATGATTTAGAGGGAGTTTTCAAGCATATGTCAAGGTTTTAAGATGGAAAACAAAAATCCAAAGCCTACAGGATTTCTAACCTAAACAGGTCTGAAAGGAAAAAAAATCCCACCATATCTGTGATTTACAAGAGGTATTTTAAGTAGGAAAGTGTTGGGGCTGTTGAAACTTAGGCTGACAAGTTGCTGCTTTTCTCATTTTCCCTTAAAAGTAGAGGAAGAGAAGTTTTCTCAGTGTGTCAAGTTCTAGTTAAGCCCTTCCAAAATTTTTGATTGCAAGAGCCTTTTCCTTTTTTCTCCCCCACAGGATGCATGGGAAGGTTGGCCTTTTAAAGAAGGCACCTGAAGTTATTAGCAGATATTCACTGGTTTAAACTTGCATATTGCTGTCAATAGTAATTCTTCTGAAATGCACTTCATAAGCGGCATTCTTAGGAGTATCCTTCCCTAAATGGCTGATAATTAGGCATTCTTCACTTGTACCTATTAATTAGAAAAAGGTTTACAAGGAGGGAATTTTGAAATTAGGCTCATTTGGATTTTGTGCTTGACTAAATAGTATTTATGCCTTAGTCAGCACAGGTGAGCACTTGAAAAACAGACAGCAAGCAGAATTCAGCAGCTGTGAACATGGTTTCAGGAAAATCAAGGCTACTATTTTCCTCACTGATCCTCTCTAGTAGTATTCCATTTGTTGCATGACTGTTCTCCTCTATTAGATTTGTACATTTGTCTTTATCAACTCTTTAATTCTTCTTATAGGAAATTGATGGCAAATCATTACTGTTGATGACAAGAAATGATGTACTGACTGGACTTTCATTAAAACTGGGGCCTGCGCTGAAAATCTATGAATATCACGTAAAACCTCTACAGACACAACATCTAAAGAACAACTCTTTATAGCTAATTGTCTAATTGGGGTCATGCTGTGCCTCAAGGGAAAAATAAGCAATTTGGTTTCATGTGATGGAACTTTGTAAAGAGAGAATATATCTATTAAGAGTTTAAACCAAATTAGAATATATATCCTATTGGATAGAGCTGGCAATATACTATATGCTGAGTCTGAACTGAGAGAGGTGGTGTGTATTTTTTACATAGTACATAATGATTTTCTCTTTTAGGAAGTGTCAATGAGCATGTTGAGATAGCTACATCACTGTATCCAGAACAAAAGGGAGGTATGTCATTCTCATTTTTGAGCCAGACGTGTTCTTGATTTCATTAATTAAGATACCAAAAAATTAAACAAAAAGAACCCCAAAGTTTACATGCATCTTTAGAGAGAGGAACCAATTAAAGTAGGTCTTGGTTTACACTAAAGACCTACTAAAATTATTTCTACTTATGATTTCAGGATGGGACTGACACTTGCCAAGTCACCCTTTTTTGCAGAGGGTCCTATTTTGACCTTATTAAGGTTTACTTGTGGTATGCTGCAATGTTTAAAGCTGTACATAGAACTAACATAACTCCTTCGATAGCAGAAGGTGTTGCTGACAGGTGAAACTGAGTTGTGTATTTTTTGCTGTCCTTTAAATTTTCAGCTATTCACCTGTTTTTAATAGTAGTCCTATGTAAAATATAGTTGGTTTTTAAAGGCTTGTGTTGCTTTGCAAACAAAAAAGCTTCATTTTATTCCTTTTTTAATTTATGATTGTTTTCTAACATTATGCAGAAATTTGTAAAAAGTAAAATTCTGCACATTTTTAATATTGTCTGTCTTTGGTGTTGTAATGATTGATTTTTTTTTAATGCTTTACTTAACACTTTGAATACTTGTTTTAAGAACTGAAAGAAGCTGTCTTGTCACCATACATCTCTGTTAAAAGAGAGTCATGTTCAATCTGTTTGTACTGGTTCCCTATTTGATAGGTTGCTTGCTATATCCCAATAAAACATTGCTTATGTTTGGATTCAGTTTACTTTACAGATCTTTTCCTTTCTCTGTTGTGGTATACTGGAGCTCCTTTCCTCCATTTTCCTATTAAAAAGGTACCAAAATCTACTTACTATTCTATGTTCTTGTGATTACTTGTAACACTACCTACCATAATATTTAAAGATTTAATTATTTTTGTTCTTTCTTCTCTGGTGTCACATACTGCGGAAGGAGAAGCCCTGGCCACAGTTCACCAGTAACATCTGTGTTTCCCTTACCGTGTATGGAGCTGTCAGTGCTGTGGAGCTGCTGTGTTGGCCCTGGTACACAGGGTGGGTCCATTTACCCCAGAATGTCTGGAGACACCCAAGGATGCTGCTAAACCCTGTCTGGGCTCACCATCATCTCTGGCCCAGAGAGCTTTGCCATGAGCCCTGAAATGGGGAATGTGGGCTTGCATCAGTGATGCTGAGCAGAGGAACAAAGAGGGAGGAATTAATGAGAGTGTGGTGAAAGTGGGGACAGGATTCAGGGAGAGGAAGGAGAACCTCCTGCAATCTCCTGCCTGGGTAGTGGCCCTGCCTTCCCTTTGACTTGGCCATGTGTGAGGTGGCTGTGTGTGGTTAAAGGGAGAGAAGGGACAAAGCCATGCTAATACCGATGCCATAGGTGAAGCTCATGGTATATGCTATATTACATAAATATATACAGCAGCATGCTTTCTTGGATTCTTCCTAACCTTTACATGGTACAGTGTATTTATTTGGAATTTAAGACAATAGGACAGAGATGTATTCATCATGTCTTTGACTGTCCCTTGTACTGACCTTACTTCAGGCATTGGTCTGTTAACAGCAGGTTTGTAAGTCATGGTCTGAGTTCTGTTTATGATTTTATTTATAGTTTGTCATGTCCAGAGGTACCTGCTGGGAGTAGAGCTCTGCTGGAAGACTAGATTCAAATAGAGATCATCAACCCTGCCTTGGGGAATTGAGCTATAGTCTGTATCTGACTAATTCTGGATTGCAATGTAAAAATTATACATGAAACTCCTAAATATTTTAATATAGAATTAGGTGTGTTTATGAAAGTTTATGAAAGTAGCCTGGACATGCTAACCAGTACTGTATCTATAGAATTATTTTGGATGAGAGCAGTGCTGTGTTATGGAAGGATTAATTGAATATTCTTTTTTTCTCCATTTGCATGTTTGGTATGGGATTTACGTTTTGTGGTCCTGTGGAAGACAGAATTTGAAGTAAAATGTCCTTATTCCAAGAGGGAGTAAAAATCTCCACTGTGCAGACATGAGAGTGCATTTGATGACTACTGAACAAAGTTCTTTCTTTTAATATGTTTAATGAGCAAATGAATTGCATTCAGAAACATCCAGATTTTATTTCCCCTTTGCTCAGCACCACTGAGTCATACAAGTAAAGGCATAACAGAAATCTCATTGCAAGTGCAAAAAGGAATTTGGAAAATATTGGTCAAAACCGTGACAATTTTTTTACTGTCTCTGATTTTTATTGTAGTTTCCTACTGTTCTCTGAGCTTTCTAATGCTGCTCTTCTCTTTGTGCAGTTGACTGTTCTGGTTTTGTTTCTTACATTCTCTTTGCCATTTCTGGGAGAACAAAAAAATCTTTCTAAGACACTGAAGGGTTTAAAAGAGGAAGTCAAAGCCAGATTATTTTTAGCTACCATTCCTCTTGCAGAAAACACAGCTGCTGTTGAGATGAGGAAGCAACTGATAGGCATTACTGGATACCATGTCAGTACTGCAGCTCTGAGTTGCAGAGCTATGCAGGAATCCAGTTTAAATCCTGCCCTTATATGTGCCTGCAGCTGGGAGAGTCCCTCTTCCTTAAAAGCCCTGCCTGTGCCCTGGGTGATGGTTAAGCTGCCAGCCTCTGTCTGCTCAGCTGATCCAGGGGGTGAGTGTGATGAAGGTCTTGGCTTTCACACTGAATCACAGCTTAGAGAGCGCCCTTCTCCTGGAGGCAGCTTTAAGGAATAAAGCAGCACTGAGCTCCCCTGCCCTGCTGTTGGTCAGCACAAGAAGTCATGCTGCAGCCAAGGTCTTCCCTGTCATTCTTCTCTCCTAATATCAGAAGTGCATATCATTCAGAATCTTTGATACACTTTTAAAATTATTTCAAAGCATTACAGTATGTCTGTTCTGGTATGCTGGGTGTGAAATGTATAGGAATTATTCATCAACTCTGGTCACTTTCCTCTAAAGCTGTGGATACAAAACATGGCACATTCTCTTTGCATCCAAACAGAGCCAAGTACCACACATAAAGCATGTGTCAGGCACCTGTCAGCAAAGTATGGGATCTGTGGCAGTACCTGTCCACCAGGACCACTTTCTCAGCCCAGAAAAATGGTTCTTGCTACTTGCTGCTGTCTCCCATGCCTACATGTTATTGGTCCCAGTTTGTTCTAATGTGCTGCACTTGATTAGGTTGTAGAAGATTCTTTGCCCATATAATTATAAGACAAGATTCAACAGCTGTAACAAAGGGAGTAAGCCCCCATGCATCACTCCTGGTTAGAAATGACCCTGGCAAAATGTCTCATTAGGCTGTCAATATCAGACATTAATTGCTAAATTAACTCTTCTTTCTTTTCCCTGCTTTTTCCAGCATGTTCAAATTCCACCAAATCATTTCACTCTTCCTCTTTTTAAAAATCAGCATTTAATTGATCTTTTGTCTTCACCAATCCTCTTTCCGGTGTCACACTTAAGTTACAGTGACAGTTGCTTTAAAATCAGAGGGTCGTATTTTCTGTGAGTGACAAAAGCTGCACATTTATTTCTCATTTTTTAATGGCAATATTGTACATTTAAAGGCTGAGTCTGGGTAGGACCAGAAAAATATTACCTTACTTTATCTTCATTCTGGTTTTCTAAGTCAGAACAGCAGTTCCTTCTCTTCCAGGAATGGCTTTTGGCCCAAAAGTCGTGTGGGAAATGAAATGACTGCAAATGTGCATGATGGAGGGTGTAAAAATCACTGGCTACTAAGCAGCAGGGTGAGTGGAGCACTGCAGAGGAGGGTCTGCTTTACTCTCTCCTTCACCTTGGGCAATTTACACAGGCAATGGATTGGCTTCTTCATCAAATGAGAGGACTTGGTGCATGAAGATGTGATCCAAGGGATCTCAGCCATGTCCCATTCCATCACCTCTGTGTTGCTCAGTTTGGACAGCAGTTTCCCCAAGGGAAGTGCTGAGGACAGTGGCTGCCATTAGCCCACTGGCAGGGACAGTCTCCATTGGAAGAATGGGCAGACTGATTTAATAAGTAACTTTCATTCCTATTGAGAAAGTCTGTCTTCTTTTTGATAGTGTAACAAGGTCATTAAATTACTTTTTGCTTAGCCCCTCTAATTAGGGAGTTGATTTAGTGATGTTCATTTGGATCTTCAATGTGTGTTCGATTCCCACAATAACATTGGTCTATAGTTGCTATAAATTTGGGAAATGCAACCTCAGGCACCTGGAGAGGCCAAGGGGAGCACCTTGAAGACTGTAAGTGGTTGTTGGGCTCCATGTGAGGGTTTCATTGCTGCTGAAGGCTGCTGGTGAGTACTGGAGACTGGTGTTGTATTTATATGCTGCTCTCGTGAGCATCCTTGCTGAAGGAGCAGTCAGCAGTTACAAGTGCTCTATTATCAGCTGATCTGCTGATAAGGCAGCAGCAAATGTCTTGGCATTGGCAGACTTGCATTCATCTCAGGATGTTCTCTTCCCTTTTTTGGATGATTGCTATAATCCAGCTGCCCCTCTATAGAGTGCACTCTTTGGTACTTACTATATTGAGGATGCCTCTGATTTTAGCAGCTAAATTTTATCAGACAAGGGAGGGAAGGCTTATCATTTGCACTGATCTTTTGGATTCAAGAGTAACATTGCTTTGTCTTGTCTTAGTGGATCTTAGTGGATTGGGGAAGGAGGAAGGAAGTCAGAGTAAGGAACTTGTGGGTGAGTTTGTTCACAAGCTGGTGGCCAAACTGTGGGGAGAGAAATGTGGAAATGGGTGTGTGCCTGGGTGTAGCAACCCTGTTTCACAAGGACACTCTTCAAATTCCCTCCTCCCTTCTGCATAAATAACCCACCCCAGTTTGCCTGGGCCTTCCTGCCTGGAAATATGTGTGTCTAGAGGATTTGAAAACATTGCAGGAGTATAAGGTCATGAAAACTTGAACTCTTGTCTTTTTCAGTCAGATGTAATGTAGAAATTCATTCCTAATGCCACACTTGAGAAGTGGCAGAAGCCCTCCACAGTACTCAGGCACTCTGAATTTCTGTTGTACTTCCCTCTGAATCAAAGGTTGCTCTACCCCCTCATTTATCTAATTTTGAATCCCTCCAGTATTGTTTGGGTTGTTTTTTTGTTTTAGCAACAACTAACCCCTGATCATCATTTTTTCTGATGTGATTGACATAGATCAGTCCTACATACATCAGCTGATCTAGTAAGTGTCATTTATACTCATGTTTTATACACATACGTGTGTGTGTGCATGCACTCAGGTACTTGTGTGTGTCTTTCTCAGGCTGCTATGAATGGTGAAGCTCTCAAAAAACATTTTATGTTGTAGCTGACATGTGAGCTGATATTTTTGATCCAGTAACTGGAAATATTTCATATGTTTCCTTTCTAGATACAGCTGTACACTTTCCAGGAGAGATATGGTTGGCTGCTGTATATATAAAAATAGTGTAATTCTAAATTCAGAAGTATTTATTTTGAGATTTTTAGCCAGAAACAGTTTTTTGGTCACTTTAAGTAGCTCAGCTTAACTTACAGTCAAGATTATGTACTCTTGATAAAAGCAAGGTTAAATTAGGAAAGGAAAAAGACAACTCTAAGGAAGGAAAAAAAAAGTAGCTGTAATAGTTAATAAAAACTGGCAGGTTTAAATGTATGCTGGAAAGCAGGTAACAATATATATAGAATAATACAGTCAGGGAAGACAGATGACTTGTCCTGACCCTGACAGTGACATCTGTTCTCTGTTTTAGGTACTGGCTGATGAGTTTAGCTTGTACATTTTATCTGGGTGACATTGGTTGTGCATGGAGCATGGTGAGCAGCTGAGGCAGGCTGTGCTGGACTGTCCTGGGCAGTTATCAGAATTGAACAGAAACAGGATGGGAAAGAATCAGGGACTAAAAAGATAATGTGTTTGTGCACTTGAAATACTCTGTTTGTTGGTAGGAGACTTCATCCCCTATGAATACTGGGATGTAGCCCAGGACCAGCAAGGTTCATGTTATCAGCAAGAAGTTGTATTTTAAACAGCAATTTTACAACCTGCTAGCTGCTGCTCATTGTCATCAAGTGTGATGGCGTCAGCAAAGCATCACAGCTGCTTCTGAGTAAAACACAGTGAGCAACTTGAGCAGCTCCTTAGGACAGGAACTGAAAAAACATCTGTCTGAATGAAATTAATGAAGTCCATCGTGGAGGCTGAATCTAATGAAGCCAATGGGAATTTGGTGAGATCAAGTGAGTCTGGCTAACTCACATTTTCAAGACTGATTTATGCCACTGTTACCCTAATCTTGTTGCCATATGGGAAATTGGGGCTGCTTCCGATTGCCTGAGTGCTTTCTTTAGAAGCAATCTGCCCACGTAAGTGACTCAGGTTTGCAGTGCTGGATGGAGCTGCACTGAGATGCTCCAAAGACAGTCCATGTCTGCCTGTCTGTGGAGGTTTATACAAACTGCACTGACTGTGTGTGTGTGTGTGTGTGTGTTTGTTGGCTCAGTAAACAACTGCTCACTGCTTTGTGTCCTCATTCTACCATAGTCCACCACTACCCTGCAGGGCCACAAATGAAGCACAAAAAGTAATGAAAGAAACCTTGTGCCTAATGCAATAAATTTCTTATAAGGTAGAAAGGAAGTTGGTTGTGCAGCTCTGCTTTGTTTCAGAGGGAGGCAAATCCTGAAATGTTCAGTAAGATTCTTTTTCATCTACTGGTAGTGAAGTGTCATTTGGAAGAAGACTGGTCACTTTGTGAGGTGAAATTTGATGAATTAAAATAGTTCTTTTACTTAAAGTGTTCACATTTATATATAGGTAGTAAATAGTCAAAAGCTACTTTGTTTTTTGATGTTGCTCTTTATTTGCCTTTAAAAGATACATTAATAAATTAAAAGTGCCTAGAAGTGACAGAAGTAGCAAGACATAAGCCCGCAAGTACAGTACAACACAATCTAAGAAGGTAAGCAAGAACATCCCCAGGAAAAGCTAGAAGTGTTGTGAATAAAGCTTTCAGAATTGGCTGGTGACCAGAGGACATCACAGCTGGGACAGCCTCACTCCATGGTGTCATTTTTCCTGCTTGCTGTTCAGGGCATAGGCCAGGCTGGTGGAGTGTTCTTCTCTTGCATCTCTTATGCCCTGCTCATCAAGGCAAGTTTCTATCTTTCAAAGCACCTCAAAATATCACACAGAGCAGGACATCTCCCCTATTTTTGGTGCCTATGAATTTAATGATTGTACCATAGCAGTGCTGCATGTCTGCAAACTCAGGAGGCACAAAGGCAACTTAACTGCAGTTTTTACTTTGGGCAATTCCCACTTGTTTTGTACTCTGTCACATGGAGTCTGTGAAAATGACACTCTGAGAAAACGAGTGAAAGAGTTCGAAGCTGTTGGAAGATGAGGATGATTCCTGTTGCAAATGTGGTAGCCACAGTTTGTGAGACGAGAATAATTGACTGTATTGTTTTATCCTGATGTTCAAAGCTTTCACCTGGGGTAACTAAAGTAAAATATGCATTATCTGTCTGTCTAGTTTTCTCCCTACCCCTCCCAAATGTAATAGGGCTACGTAGGTTGACTCCTACCTGCTCAGAAGTCATGATAAGATTATTAGAATAAAGAAAACTATTTAATTAAACCTACAGAGATAGCCCAAACCCTCAAATCACCTCAGTGATTAATGTAAAAGTACTATAGTAACTACAGTCTGATGAGTAGCAGCAGCAGTCATGCAGTCAGATTACATGCAGAGAAAGTTGTAACTATTACAACACAAAGGAGATATGAGAGATGTTTGTTTTTTTCTTTCTCATCTTCTGCTTAAAGAAATCCTGATTCTGACTGATTCCCTGTTCAGTCACTCGGTCAGAACATCAGCTCTGTAGATCAGTGTGGTGTGAAGGGGTCATGACAGGTTATGTCAATGAAACAGCAGGTCTTATGCCTGTATATTCAACTTACTGAAGAAATATTAATAAAGAGAATATAGAGATTTCCTGATTTTACATGTCAAAAACATGTTACAGACATCAAATTATTTGTTTCATTAAAAGGTCTAGGAATAGCTAGTTTAAAAATTAAATTACCCAATGTTTCCAGCTGGGATTTTCCAAAGAGCTTAGGGCACTTCAGTCTGCAAATCACACTGGAAGTCAGGGACAGACTTTGATTTCCAATTTCCTGAGGGTCCTTCATAAATCCCATGTTCAGGAGTTCATAGAGGGAAAAGCAGTCAGCAATGGAAGAGGCCAATAAGGAGTAAACATTGATAGGAAAGCCATGCTGTTAAGTTTATCAGGAAGGTTGAGTAGAGCCAAGAGGTTTAGTTTCCCTGGGCAGCTGCCAGTCCAAACTGACATCTCCTCTCATCTCTCAGCATTTGGCTTTGTGCTTCAAAAAACGTCTTCCGGCCAAGTGTGCAAGTACAGGAGCCATAAGGAGTTTCCACTGGAACCAAAACCTGAAGGGGATGAGCACAAACACAAAGGTTATGTTTGAGACAGGGATAGACCAGCAGAAAATCATGCCCAGACCTTTTCTCCCTCTTTGGAACAACAGTGGTAGATGCTGACATTATAGAGTGGATCTATAATGTCCACCTGAAGGAGGGGAAGGATACGAGAGCACAGTAGCAGAACCACAGGACTTTAGAGGGTGACTAGAGCATAAACAGTCTATAGACCATCAATGTCAATGGAATACCCAATTTTTCTCTTTCATGTGACAGACCTTCAGGTGGACCTAGCTGGCAGCTACACTGGCTGTGGAGGGAGGAGCAAATACATCTCACCCCCTACCTCTTGCTCTCTGCCTGATCCCAGGCTTGTACCTTACCCACTATTTGACCAATCTGGGATGCCACAATGCATTCTGCTTGGGTAAAATGCACAGGTTGGCATTATAATTGAGAGTCAAATTCAGTGGAGAAAGCAGGAATAATTTTTCAGAGATAGTCTCTGTTACAGATCCTTTTGATGTCCAGAGTATTCCACTTGCCGTTTCAGTTTTATCAATAACACAAAAAGACAATTATTTATCCTCCTTTTGTAATCAGTTTAAGTCTCTTTTAGAGGTAATGTAGAGCTTTTACTGGGGCTTGGAGAAAGTTTGCTCACTTTAACTCTGTTTTATGTAGAACTGCTGCTATGCTTTGAGGCTGAGTATTTCTAAAGAGGGCAGTCAAGTTGTATTTGAAGCATTTACTTACTTCTTTGTCATTGGTCAAGCCTAGATTCTTCATGTCTACAACATTATAAAAGGTGTTGTTCAAGACCACTTCTATGACCTGTACCTGAAACCATGAAAATGGATGAGACAATGAATTAGGGCACCTTTTCAGTCAACAGCCTGGCAGGCTTTTCACTCTGTGTACAAAAGAACAATGCCACCCCCTCAGTACAGTTGATCAAATGCAATCTACTGAACATGTGTGGCACACCTTTCACTTTTATTCAAGTGCTGCCAAGAACTGAGTGATGTTCTCCCCCATTGTGTTTCCAGCTGATGAGTTTCCACTCTTAGACCTGACAGAGGAAATAACAGCCTCATGTTGGTCTTCTCAGTGGTGCAATTAACATTCACTATTGTTGAAGTAAAACATCATTAGGAGGAAAGAAGATACCTGTGGCACTCTGGAAAGGACAAGCATCTGGATACAGTTGACAGTTTTCTGGTAAGAGGGTGAATATTCCCCACAGTCAGGTGGTCCAGCAAAGGCTTCAAGGATACATTCACGGATTTTTTTCCTAGAGGTAACACAGGTTCTTACAAAACCTTGTATCAGCTGTCTCTGCTTAGATCTGTAATGCTCTGCTGTGGGCTGTTTTTTGTTTATATTTTGCATGTCTTTTCTGACAAATATATAGCCCATGGGATTTTATGCAAGAACAAGTTGTACTTTCATCCAAATTCTGTTTCCTCTCCCCACCCCCGCCAGATATATAATTCACAAAAAGGTTTTGTTAAAACTATTTAACAAAATAGTTATTTTATTTTCCTAGAGTCTTCTGTACTGTACACTGAACTGTTCATTTGAATCCTGTCCAATGATGTACCCTTAGAGAGGGAAGTACCCCTAAGAGATGCCTCTCACCCCTCATAACAAGAGCTTATTGCTGTGAGTGGCTGGTGCACAGCAGCTGTGGATCTGGCCCTTACACCTTCTGTGTTGTATAGAGGAACTTTGTGAGTGTAGATTGGGAAATTAATATTACTTGATATAACATATACCATATGCAGTTAAAGTCAAAATCCCTGCATTCGCCGTATGACCATTTGCAGAAGAACTCTCCACACAGAATCCTGTCATGTCTTTCAGGAAGTGTGGTGTGTTCATTCTTATAGAAGCCTTCAAATCCAGACTGTGTTGTCTTCATAAGTTTCAGGTCCTTAATTCCAGCAAAGACAATTAGAGGACCTGTGATTGAAAATTACAAGAAAATATGAGCTTCTTTTTACACAAAGAAAGAAATCTTTGGGTGCATACTTGCATTGACAGCTCCAGAGCCACAAAGCAGACAATAACTTTCTGCATACTGATATTGGCAGAAAGGTAAGAAATTACAGAAACTACTGAAGTCAGGCTCAGTCTAGAAAATGGAGAATCCCATCAAGTGATATGCAGTTAAGGAGAATTGAGGATAGACTTTTTTATCTTGCTTGCAACTGGGACATGTTGGGTTGGCTCATGCTGATGTCAATTTAGGAATGGCTCTAAAGGGAAATGAAATAGGCTATCAGTGCTGTGATGGTGCCTTTTCCAAGAACACAGACGAATGTAAAAATTCTCGGTATAAACACAGAGCCTCAGTCAGTAATTTGCTTTAGATACCCGTCCTGTTGGGAGTTTTCCATCTCTGAAAATGAGAGCCAGGAGCCAGTGCAAATCCCTGCAGTTCAGCTAATGAGCAGGAACTGGCACTGATACAGATGCCACCCACAGGTTCAAACTGACAGTGGCTTTGCTCTTAGCCACTATTTATAAAACAAGCTGTCGAGGATCACTGCTGCATGGGTGGATCTTTGTCTTCCAAACACCAAGCAGTTGTGAACTTTTTCTGCTGACACCTTTTGAACGGCAGCTATTTCAATTTCAAGCAGTCAGTTATTTAGAGCACACCAAGATGGTAACTGAAAATTTCACTGACCAGAGCTGCCAAAGAGCTTATTCAGAAAAGAGAAACTTAACGGCATGCAGGCTCATTCAGGGCCTGTGCAGATAGTCAGGTCTGAAGTCCAAGCTGCTGGTTTTTGCTGCTCTTGGTGCTCACACTAGCTAGTTCAAAATTCATCCTTGAATATGTCAAGTGCATAGTAATCCTGCCTTGGATTTGGAGGATTCACAAATTTTGTCTTTAAATGATGTCTTTGAAGGAGTTTATACCGGAAATAATTCCACCATGGTAGGCATTCCTATATTGCATGGTTGTTTAGAGGTTTGGGTGTTTTTAAACTGCTCTGTGACTAAATATTACTGACACTGTATCTTATCTATATTTCTTTTCTTGTTTACATGCAGTATTGTTTTTGAATTAGTCTAAGGAGGTGTATCTATCATTTTGCCCATGTCCCCCTGTTATATACTAAAACTGTAAAAAAATCTAAAAAAGAGACTGACCTTGGACAGGATATTTTGGGGTTTTTACAGATCTTGAATAATTCAGCACTTGGGTATAAGACTGTGACACACAGTTATTAATGTAGTGCAGGTACTGTCAGTGAACCTGGAGAAATATTTATCTTATATTCAAATAATTAAACTTATTTGAAAGAGCTCCTTGCAACAAAAGATTGACTGAAAGGCTGGCTGACTGTACAGCAATCAGCCTGAAACTAGCTCCAAAGGGAGAGTTTCCAAGGTGAACAGCTCGTGCTGTGCTTTCAGGGCGCTTTGTGCTTGAGCTGTCTTCAGTTGACAAATTTTGATTCAGTTAAGTTACTTACAGTGTTTTGAGTTTCCAAAAAACGGTGAGCCTTTTATCAGCTGATACAATGGCAAAACATAATTCTATTAAACTTCACTAGGGTTTTCTTCTTCATGATAAGAAAATCATTAAACAATAGGATTAACTGAGAAATGAACTCCTGTGTCTGGTTGATAGGTGCATAGGAGGATGCTAAATATAGAGAACATTCTCTTATAAGAAAAATAAAAGTGATTTGAAAATCATCACTTTGGGTATTGTTCACCTAGGCAGGGAATTCTAAAGAAACAACTGAAGGGCTACATGAAGGGAAGTCTAAGAAGAAAAGGTGGTTTCTTCAGTAAGCCATAAAAGCTTTCTGTTTGTGTAGAAACTGAAGTTGCAGAATTGCTTGTTAAATTTTCATGATTATGAAAAATTTAATACAATCTATATTAAGAGCAACAGCTTTTCAAAAATGTATAGACTTTTTTTGTTTGTTTCTTTTTTATTTTAAATTCAGGTGTCTTTTTTAACATTTTCCAGAAAATACAGTCAATAATGTTGAGGCTGCCAAAAGTACAGCAGTAGTTAATACTAGAGACATTAAAAAGATGAGGCCAAGAGGCACTGGAGACTTTCTGTGTTCTTTCAGCAGGACCACAGGAACAATGCTCAGATGGACCTTTCAAAACTTGTGTCCTGTCTGCAAGTGAAACTGGTCTTGCCACTGGTTCTGGATAGGATGGCAAGTAGTTCTAAGTTACATTAATGTAGTATAGCCAGGTACTGAACTAAACCTAAGCCCTCTAAAGCCATGATGTGAAAATGATAGAGTGGCCTCAGCTCGGTTCCCAGTAATCCAGGAGATGCATTAAACAAAACACCATCACAGCGAGACTGAACTTGGGCTTTTGATGCAAACTACAGCAAGTAGAGATAATTTTTACACTCCCTTTGGAATGCCAATTCATGGACAGACAGCTGAGCTTGAAAATTTGTCTTTTAAGTATCACAAAACTCTTGGTCAAGCCAAATGCTGCTTTGTTTATGCATGGTGTGCAAAAATAGTAAGCACGCTCTGAAGTACTTTCATGTGAAAAATGGTTCACATGTAGACCTGAGTGCTCACAATGTGCAAGCTAGTCTGGCTTGCAGCAGTGAAATTGCTTTCCTAGAAATAAAATCAGGGCATGCTGACAGGAGTTTGGAAATTACTGCAAAGCAGGCAATTGGGCTGCAGCAGTGTGGTATCAGGTAAGATCATAGGAGACCACAGGTTGTAGTATAAAGTAGAAAAGGAAGCAGCCTGTTCTCAGAAGGCTGTTAAATCCTGTGGCAGGATGTAACAGTTCTGCTGGATGTGCTGTTGTAACCATTCCATGTTTGGGATATACATACAAATGTGAGCTACGTTAGCTCCTCAGCCATGTCTCAGAGATCAAGAACATCAAAATTACACTATAAAAATCTTCTTTGGTTTAGACCTCTGGAGCAGTTTGGCTGTGCCCTAAGCCCTGTAACACCCATAGCTATCTCTAAAGCCATTTCATCTCTCATTGGCAGAAATATTTACAGAGAAGTAGGGGATGCTGCCAGTTCTTTTCTCACCATTCCGGCACTGCTCAGCTTCACAAAAGCGGATCCCGTCAGGAACACATATGAATGAGTGGATGTGGGGAACGCCATCCTGCAATTTAGAGCAGACATGTAAGTAAAAGTGCCATAAATATTATTATGTTAATTTGGAAACAGGAGCTAAGAGAGTGAGGAATGACTACAGCATAAACAAATGGAATGTATTAGTATTTTAGATACCTCATGCAGACGTTGCCATGGTACTTCTTGAACGTAGGCTTTGACGTACGCCACTTGGCAAAATGTTGTCATGAAGTGATTGCAGATATCTATAGCAAATTGTTCTAAACTTGAGATCTAAGGCAGCAAACAGTATTATTAGAAAGAAGCAATAACTTCCTGTACAAAAGTAGATTTTTCTGGTTGTTGTATATAAGAATCGGTGTGGTTAAAAACACATTTCTCTTATTTCTAGCTTGGCTTACTGTTCCCAGTCATTTGACCAGCTTGCAGCGTGTGCTGCAAATAGCAACTGTAGTTGTATCAAAAATCTTCCATTCTGGTACAATGAGCTGCAGTTCTTGGACTGAGAGAAACTGCTGCAGGAGTGTTATGCTTTGCGGATATAATGCTGAAATAATAATTTATCACAATTATTCTGATTGATATGGTGATACCGTTATTAAGTTTTACAGGGTAAAATGGGATTCCATTATGGAGAAATATAGTGCTACAGATTGTCATTATGATACATGCAATTGATGGCAGGAAGAACACAGAAGACTTAAGAGGCGTCTCATACTTTGAGACCTTCTGTTTAAAAATACTGTATAGGAATAATGCGGGATTATGGGCTATTAAGTTTAAAAAAAAAAAGATGGCTTTTATATGATAAATCCACAGTGCTATATCTTGAGAAGAAAGGCTTTGGAAAACTAAGAAAGAATCCACAGGACAAGCAGTGGAGGAGGAAAACTAAAATCACTGGAAATTACTTTGGTACTGGTATGATATACAAATTGAAAATAAAAAGTTATTATAACAAATACTTCCAAATGAAGTTGTAAGAAACAGCAAGGCTAGTTAAAAAATAAAAAAAATACCCCATTTTTTTTGGCCAGCACAAGAACAATATTCTTTATGGTGTCTGTAGGTATCACAAGAGAATTGTTTCCTTCCAGGTACTCCTGAGGAGAAGTCAGCCGGAGATGCGCACACACTTCCACTTCTTTAACAAACTGCTTTTTTCCTTCTTTATGAAGGCGAAGGAACTTAATTGTATTCTTGCCATATTCACAGTTGAGGACTTCAAGGTCCTTGATCTGCAAAGAAAACACGTGGCAGTAGTAAAGAAATGCAGTGGAAGCCTGAGTTATGCAGTCATGAAACAATGTCAGTGAAACATAAACAGTGCTTATGGCCTTTATTTTTGTAGTTACCCATGACAGTGAGAGTATTTTCATTATAAATTGCAGAGTCCTGACAGGAAGAAAAAATGCTTTAGGAGACTATTATTGTATTAGTAGCAGCTGTGATGAAATTCTAAAATTTTCTGAGGAACAGATTATTGAACAGGAGTCACAGTGAACTAATCTCTCATTTGTCATGTGTGAATTAATCCTGCCTATATAGACCTTCACTGAGTCCCTTCTCTGGGATCATTGGTTTTGTTTGCATTAAGCCCTGTTATTAAGTTTTACCCTGCTTCTGTCAAACACACCCCATTTACACATCTCTTACAGTGTTGGACAGGCTGTACTAGCAAGATGACAAAATTCTCCAAATGTTGTGAGGATTTCTGTTGTGCTAAAGTACCCAGAGCTCATTGCACTAGACTTTCCATGAGGCTGAAATATCCCATACTCCTTATCAACTTTTAATGTAAATTAGCCCCTTTTCATGTAGGCATAATGAGAATGGAGAAAGAACACTTTCCGCACCAAAATATAAATTGAAGCTTTTTATGTGTGAGTTGCTAAAAGATTATCAGCTGTGAAATCGCTCCATTCAGACATGTTTGTTCTTAAATGCACTTTAAAAATAGTCGTAAAAAGCATTAGGTAATTGTAAGTAAATTCATTTGGTTCAGAAATCAGAGCGTTTCTCCGGCTCGGTCCCTAAGGGCTCAGTCCCCAGGGGGACTGGAGGTGCCGAGCGCCGGAGCCGGCATCGGGCGCTCACCGGGAGCCCTTTCTGCGGGCACGGGGCAAGGGCTGGGCGGAGAAGCAGTGAGCTGGAGTGATGTTGTTTTGCTTGTCTGAACACCAGGGGTTTTTCAGATAGTTGTGAAAAATTTGTACGTCAGTCATGGAGAACCGAAAGGAAAACAAAAAGGGTTTCGGTATCTGCAGGCTGGAGCTTTATTTAAAGCAGAATACCATGAATATTCTAAATAGTCAAAATACTTTTTTTCTGGTTTTTGTCAAAAACATAGCTTGTCCACTGTCATTCTGTTGCCCAAAGAAGCCGGGAGCAGTTTCCGGCGGCTCCCAGGAGCCCCTGCCCCGCTGTCCGTGGCCGGCCCTGCCCTGGAGCCCGGTTTCCCAGGCGGGGTGCGCTCCCCGTTCCGTGGGCAGGAGCTGACGGCTCCGGCAGCGCAACTTCTCCTTTCAGAGCCACTCGGGGCTCGCCCTGCGCAGCCGGGAAAGCAAAATGCCGGCGGGATCTGCTTGGTGCCAGCCTGCTCTGCTCTTACTCCTCTCCTGCGTGCCCCTGTGGGCCGCTGGGATTTCCTGCAGGAATGAAGATGGGGAGACAGTGGACTGGTGAGTAAATACCGTGCTGGAGAGAAACGCTGGGAGAGTAAATAAATACATTGAGATTAAACTGCGGGAAGTGGCTGGGTCACCGAGAAGCAATGCAAAGGCAATCGCTGGTTCCACGCTGTTGGCACGAGAGTAGTGGCGGAGTGCTGCGTTTGAAAAACCTGGGATAAGTCACTGAAATCGGATTTCATTTCCCTCGACCAACCACCGTGCAGCATCATGACTAACTGCAGAACAATCAAATAAGCACGGTTTTACACGGCGTTCATGTCTCATGATCAAAGGGAGCACAACCTGTGTTGCGGTGCCAGGGCTGCGCCCGCCAGCGGCCGCCCCGGGGGCACGGCCGGGCCCGGGAACGCCGGGCGGGAAAGGCGCCCATGTGTCCCTCGGCTGGCCCTGACAGCAGCGGAGCTCTCGGCCCCTGCTGAGGGCACCGAGGGCAGCGGAGGCTGGGCCGCCCTGGGCTGGCCGAGCTCCTGTGCCCGTGTCTGGAGCAGGAATCGCTCCCTGCCCGGAGCTGCCGTCACGGCACCGCCGGTGCCTTCCCAGTGCCAGCTGCGAGCCCAACTTCGGGCATTACGTGATTAATTGGATTAATGAGCTTTTCAAGATGAAAAGATGCAAAGTAAAATTGCATAATATCCAGCTCAGATTTTAAAAGTGAAATGAGGGCTCTTTAAAAAGAGATTCCTGAAGATAAATATCAAAAGAAAAATGTTTTTCTTGTGAACAACAATTAGTTTGGATACCAGTGCTAAAGAAGTAGGCCCATCCCTTTCCTTGCACACAGAGCTAACTGCAGGGAAGGCAGGCGGTCCTGCACCACAGGCAGGAACACAGGGCTGGCTTTGCTCTCTGTTGGCATAGCATCAAATGTATGAGGGTCTAATCCATCCCTGTGACTTGTCACCTTTGCCAAGGCACTTCTGGATAATGTAATTTTTTCAGGAATCAGACTCTTAGTTGGTGCAGCTACCCAGGAACTAAAAGGTATGAGATATTTGATTTCTCCCTAAACTGGATTTATTCCTTGTAGAATGAAGTTTTTAATGAAAAACAAATGAACACAAAAACCCAAACAAACAAACAAAAACTACAGACCAATATATACACAAACAGTCAATTTCTTAGATGAAGACAATTTTTGTATTAAAATTTTCTGAGAAATTCTTTAAAGGGGCTAGGAGTAATTCACCTGTGCCTCAATGTCAATGCCAGTGTCGTGGGGCCTGTTCCAGGAGGGAACCTGGGGGTCTGCAGAGGCAAATCCATGTTCCCTTTCACAAATTTAGCAGCTAGGACAGGGGGGTTACCTTTTCAATATGCCCTGATCAAAAGAAGAGAAACTTGCCTGTCAGCTGGGGTAATTCTGCTTTACTAAAAAGAGTCAGCCTTTGGATTCTGGATTTGGTTGCTATGAAGCTGACAGGAGAAGCAGAACTGAAACTGCTGAGAAAAGCCTCCTCTCAAACAAAATATGTCAATGTCCTTTTAAACAAACAACACTGCGTTATTTTCAGTTAGCAGCAGGTTTGTGTGAGTTCCTGCTATGCAGTGGTTTCATCCTGCAGTATTCCACAACTCCTCAGTGCTCACACACCCTTTCATTTGCCGCTGCACCACAGGGATCACTTGCTGTATCTGACCGGATCCCATCTGTGCTCCCCAGCTGGGCTGGCAGCTCCTCCCCGCACGCAGCACTGGGCGGGCAGAAATCGCTCCTGTGTTTTCCCTGCACTCGGGATCTCATCCCGCAATCGTCGCTGCCCTCCCGCAGCGGCTGCCGGAGCACATGGGGGATCTCATCCCACAATCCTCGCAGGACCGGCTGTGTGAGCAGGGCAGAGACTTCCCTTTATTCATCTGAACTCACTGCTTTCTGTGGGAAGCCTTCCCTGCAGATAAAAGCCAGAACTATACTTTCTGAGAAATGCTGAGTCAAGGACTGAAGCCGCCATGCACATTGTTTGTTTGGGCTTCTTTGGTGGGGTGGGGGGGAAGGGAAGAAGTAAAGATGTGATTCTTGTTTGTAAATTGTGTTCAGTCCCAAGAAAACAATGTGACAATGCTAATCCGGTCTAAGCGGATTTGCTCTTTCTTGGTTCTCAGGAAAATAACGTTTACTCTGCTCCCACCAATGCCTAAGTTCTTGAGAAATTTCCTGTGCACGAATAGCACTAAAAATTTTATACAACTTTAATTGGTAATACACTGAGCTGGCTTTCTGGGAAGAGCCAAAACATGTATCCACTGGGAATTGGCGGGCAATTTCCTGATAGCTCAATGACTAGCATTTCATAAGCATGTCTGCCAAGGTGGGTTTGTCAGATGCAAGGCTGTAAACACTTCCAGAGCATAAACCTTTCAGGAGGTGTCAGAGTAGTTTGGAAAGGCTTCATCTACTAATTCCTGGATCAGCTCTTACTACTGTAACTACTGCTATTCCTCTCCTTTCCGAGTCTTCATTCCAAATCTTTATTTCAAATAAAGGGATTGTTGTGACTCCTGGTGCATGTGGAGGCACAGACCACTCTCCCCAGCCTAGTTATATAAATCACTTTCTTCTCTGTGATCTGTCATCAGAAGTTATTTCTCCTGAGATACTTTGAGGAGATCATTCAGTCAGTGGCAATGCAGGTAGATTACCAGGACCACAAATGGCGTGTGTTTTTCTTCTACGTGTGGATTAAATGTTCTTCTCTAGCAAAATGTTTTCCTGCCACTTCTTACCTGTATTTGGAGATGTCTTTTGTGACCAACTTGAGCCTCTAAATCAACTGGGCAAGGTTTTCTCCTCCTCATATACTTGAGGGGTTAAGTACAGGCTGCATTTTTGTTAAACAGATTGAAAATAATGCCACTCAGTCCTTACTGTTGACATTAATAGCAAATTACTCAATTACAGCCCTCAGAGAAAGTGGCTGAGTTAATTACATTGTGATTAATCCCATGGACTTGTGCACTGGGAAAACTTGTTTACTTTATCAGGAACCTTAGTATGAACTGAGCCATTTACTCTGTTTACTGACAATATTGAGTACTTTACAATTTTGAAGAGATTTGTATTCCTGGCTAATGGTTTGAAAATTTCCAGTCCGCAACAGTTCATCGGAGTACAAGTCTATTATGGGAAGTATGATTGGAACTACACTTTATCACTTTGCTTTGTACCTATTTTGTGATTGTGATACATATAAACATTATATAATGCACTTTTTATTCCAATACCTTTTATCTATTTAATATAAAGCCATATTTATATAATATAGAAATTGTTTGACATGGGAGAATGTTAGACTAGGTTTGGGACCTGAGGTTCTTTACCATAACCAGGAGCAATAGGGATTTCATGGACTCAGCCAAGGCTACCTCAGATTGTTCAGGGGTACCAACAGCAGTCTGGCCACAGCAACAGGAGTTTGGTGCTGAGTCTGCCTCCCTTGCTTGCTAAGAAGCAGCACAAATTTGTCTGCAGCAGGGACTGTGCTGCCAAACTGCAGCTGGTCCCTGGGTCATTGCTTTGAGGCTGAGCTCCCCCTCTGCTCCCCCTCCAGCCCAGGCATCCCTGGATTCACCCTCCTTTTCCTCAGGGAAGGAGGTGCTCATTTACACATTCCAGCAGCGTGGTGGTGAAAAACCAATTGCTCTTCACTGTTGCAGGTTTGCTCTTTACAAGCTGCCAAAGCATGCCAAAGGACAGATTCCCCTGCTGGGTCTGGAATACCTGTACATGGATGCTCTGACTCCACAGTGGCAGCTTGGTAAACACCTCATCAACATGAGCCAGGGTGCTCTGGGACAAACACTGCAGCAGCTCTATGAGACATACGAATCCAAGGCAAGTGACATTTTGTTTTTGTTAGTGTGGTTACTCGATATTTTGTGCAGATGACATGAAAGCAGCCAAAATAAGCATATAAGGCCAGGCCTGACCAATGGATCTGCTAAAACACATAGGGGAGGAGCACCTCGACAGCTGGACAGATTATTTGCAGTTTTGGCTACAATTAGGGATAATCCTCAAACTTCTAATTTCTCATTAAGCTTTTAATATAGTTATTGTCCATCAAAAAAAGAGTGTTCATGCATTCTCCCTTTGGCTTCTTTTCATGCCAACATGAATTGACAATTCATGTTGAGCAATATCTGAAGCAATATCTGACCAAGGTCAGTGGTAATTGTTACAGACACTTGTCCTAAGCCCTGCTATATGCATGTGTTTCATTCTCTGACTCAAATCAAGTCTGGGTTTTCATTGTCCTCCTGAAATGACTGTGACCTTTTTTTTGCTCCCACCCTCAGACACCTCACGTACATTTGTGTGAAGTGACTGTAAAATATCATAAGATTTCCCTATAATTATTTTTTCCCCATCTTGTGGTATTGTTGGGAGTCTGGGTGTGTCCTCACATTTCTCCTGTGGGTTTGTGGTAGGGTGCAATTAAGTTGTATGTAGAAGAGACTCCCAAAAGTCACTCAAATATTGGCAGTCCAGAAAACTGTCAAATCCCAGGTCTTACTGCAGCTGTAATAAACTGTTTACAAAGTACATTGGGAGGGGAAGCATGTCCCAACTCCTTTGAAGTTCTCTATTCAGGGGAAATAAGGTGTGGCTGTATGCAAATTTTTTCAAAAAAGCTTTAATTGCTTGCCCTTAATAACAACAGTTGTCATGTCTATTTTTACTCAGCAAATATTTTTTACCAGATTTGATTGCTAAATCAGAGAGAGGCCCAAAAAACAGACAGTGGAAGTTCTTTGCAAGCAAGGGGCCACTAAACCCACATAAACTGGCTTAGCAAGCATTTTCAACCCTTGGGAAAGGGCAACTGCAGCAATTGAGAGAGCTTCCACTTCATGTCAGCTGAGGCCTAATGCTGAGTCTTCAGGTTTATTGTACTGTAAGCTCTGTGGAGACTGTGTCAGCTGAACTGGGAGCAGGATTAGGCTCATGATGTTCACACAGAGGAATCCTGAATTCTTTCTTCTGTTCCCAGCAGATGTTTGCTTAAGTGCCTTTCTCTTACTGAATGTCATGTTTCAGAAATTTGTGTTTCCCTGCAGAGGAACACCACTGCATATGCAATATACAACGATGAGATCCCTGAATCAGACTCCAAAGGATCAAAATGTGGACACACCAAAGGTAGAGGGAGAGTCCCCAACTACTATTTTCTTCTTTCTAAAGTTGCAGATAGCATCTGCTTGTCTGTCTGTTTGCCTATCTGCATATCTAAAATTCCTGCCTAAAGCAAAACTGAAGAGTGATTTGCATGGTGTGTGGTTTTTGTATCGTTACTTACGCTGCAGCTTGTTTTGGTTTTGCTATGCCTGTGCTGTGTGAAGGATCCTGGCTGGGGCTTATGGACTCTTTGTTTCAAGAGTTGAAACCAATACAAATCCTTTGAGCACCATCCTGTGCCTGATGGCAAAGCAGTAAAAGATGTGAAGGGAACCATTCCCTCAACAAAAACCTCTGCACACTTTCTGGGACCAGAAACTGCTGCCAAGATCATGGAAGCACTGCAGGATGTAGTTACAGAAAATCGAGACTTTAAATGAGTACAAACTTGAGTGGAGTTTAAATGTTCCCCTGAGGAAGCAGGTGGGGTTTGCCCAGCCTGAGGTGGAAATGAGCACATTTTGCAGGGCTGTATTTCCAGGCTGCAGCAATGGGCACAGCTCAGGAGCATGATTCCCCCTGTTGGGGAGGAGCATAGCCTGTCTCTCTCCTGCTTCCCCATGGGAGACATTTTGGTCTGGGAAAGAGCCACAGTGTTGACAGAATGTGTTTCCCTTTGTCCAGTGAACATTTGAAGTAAAGAAAGATGAGCGATGGAGAGAGGGTCACAACCTGTGACCTTCTATTGTCAGAACTCTTGAAGGCAAAATTTGAGCAGAGGATGGGGGTGTGAAAGGATTTTATTCAAATAAAACATGATGATAGTTTGAGTTATGCAGGAAAGAATTGATGCAATTTTAATTCAATATTAGTGTCTCCTATGGCCTAATAATCTACTCTAGAACGGCTTACTGTAGACATTAACACATTGAAATGTGGGATCTGCAGCAGCAAAACCAAAGCAGGGCACAACTCTATAATCTCAGGGGTTTTTCCTCCTTTATTCATTTGCAGTAACTTTTATTTTGACAGGATTTCTGCTCTTGGATAAATCACAAGGCTTCTGGGTGATTCACAGTGTGCCCCTGTTCCCTCCCAGCCCTGAGGATGGTTATGGATATCCATCTACTGGGGAGTCCTTTGGACAGACAGCCATCTGTATAACCTTCAAATATGATCAGTTCACAGAAATAGGTATGAAAAGCTTCCCTAAGTCCCACCACACCTCTCTGAATGCTTTCCTTGAGGTTTCCCCTCAAAAATTCCTTGTTCTTGAGGTTTTTTTGTGACATTGGGAAACCAAGTGGAGCCTGGAAAAAGCATTCTTGGCTTCAGTTGTGTTTATCCAGTGATTTCCTGTGTGAATGTGGGAAATTCACTCTTCTGCTCTGTTTTCATCTCCCTGTGGGGACTATCAGGATAATAATAGTCACAAGTGCATATCAAGAGTAAACTCAGCCCATGCAAACAAATGCTTTGGAAATACAAAGTAGGATGATTAATCACTTTTAACAGTAATAGCTCAGTCAGCATCAGTCATCTGCACTTCTAAAATGTAAGGCAACCACTGCTTGAGCTGGAGTAGCCTTGACTCAACAGAAATATGAATTATGGAATAAATATCACCTAGAATTTTCCCAGGTATTTCTTTGCCACAAAAATTGCCAATGCTAAATATATAAAAACCCCCAAAAAAAAAAAACCCAACAAAATACAGCTGCAAGATTGAGAACAGTCTGGCAGTGATAACTGGTACTGGAATCCTGAAAAGGGACTGTTGAAAGACAGCACAAGAAGTCATGTTGGCATGTTCCTCAACTCTTTTCACACTGTTTTTCCCCTCTTCTCTCACTTACATACCTCAAATCAAGTTAATGAACGGCACATGCTGTGCAAATTGCCAGGCTGGCCACACCTCAGAGCTCTCTAACCCAGGTTCCTGTTTGTGGAAACACATCTATGCATGTGTTTAGCAGAAGAGGACAAAAAATGAGATGCATATGCTAATGCTCATCCTCCCAGCTTCTGCTAATCTGTGGTTCAGGGATTTCCTGAGCCAGAAAGACTTGGAATGTTTCTGATGGACTGGTATTCCATGAACTCACCTAATGAGCCCATTTGTTCCCTAGCTGTTTATGCTATCCATGGCAAGAACTTCTACAGAAAAAGAGATTTCTCCTGCAGATTCAATCCAGATGCTGAAAGTCAAGTTCTGTTCTCCCTAAAACCAAACTCGACCCTTTGGCAGCTCCTCTGTTTGCATTTGGCTTGGCAGCTGTAACTGGCTGGAGACTAGTCCTGTAAATACAGCCAGGTTTGGATTTGCCCATGATGTCTGAGAGCTCCTCACTGCAGAGAGGCTCCAAGATGGGCATGAGTGGGAGTGGCAGTGATCAAAACCACCAGTTAACAGCTCTGCTAGCAATAATGGGCTGTAAGTGGAAAGCCTGAGTGTACTCTCCCAGCCAATCTTTGTGCTGCAGGGCCAGTCAGAATACAAAGCAATACACAAATTCTTAGTTGCTACAATAAGATACTTTGACACTTAACTCATCCAGGAGATGGGCTGTGAAAGATTAAGAAGGATTTAGGTTTTCTGTCCAAGACAGAACTTTCCTCTCTTGATTGCTTTTCTTTAACCCATTTTAATTCTGCATGTGTTCATTTTTGTGGGTTTTTCTCAGACCAACAGATGTTGAGTTACAATCCAGGAATCTACAGCTGTTCCATCCCTGACAGCTTCCAAGCTGATCTCCCAAATCTCCAGAAACTCTGTGCAAAGTCCAGGCTGCCCTCACCCCCCTTGCACCGCCTCTCCAAGCTCCAGTCAGCTCAGGGGGAAACCTTTCTCCACTTTGCAAAGTCACACTTGTTCATAGATGGTAAGAGAACCTTTTGCTCTCTATATAATACATTCTTAATTAATTCTTAAAATATGAATTAATAAATTCTTTTAAAATTCATATTCTCTCTGAGGGAGAAAAAGGAAGTTCAGCTTCAGCAATAAATGTAAGAGGTCAAGGTGTGCTGTCCTATCCTAATGTTCTCATAGCCTCACAAAGCAAAAAGCTGTCTGGTCCATCCTAAAGTATTGAACAATCAGATTTTCAGGAAAATTATGTTCCATTATTCAACAGTAATAAAGAAGAAGAAATAGGGGGATTGAATCATTGAATCATCTGGAAGATTTTGCTATGAAGAGGACTTGCAATTTTTCTGTCTGTTCCCTTTTTTCGTGCTGTTTGTTTGTAACAGGTTTTCTACAAGGAGAAAAAGTAGAAATGAACTTCTGAAAAGGTCAAAATAAGGGGAGTGGACAAAATTCTCTCTGTCCGACTTCATGCTTTACAATGAAACTAGCACAATTTAGATTATGCTTTTCAGTCTGTTCTTAAATGAAGGAACATGAAACACTGATTGCCCACACCCTGTGTTATTCCACAGATATCTATGTGGCCTGGATGGCTCAGGAACTGAAGACTGATTTGTTGGCTGAATCCTGGCAGCGTTCTGGCGAAAAGCTTTACTCAAATTGCTCTCTTGACTACCACGTCTACAACATAAACATAATAGGGATGCCTTTGAACTCCACCTTCCATTCCATTAATGATCATTCCAAATGGGCTGTTTCAAGGAAATACAAAGATCAGTGGACATGCATTGGAGACTTGAACCGTGCTGCTGAGCAAGCTTGGAGAAGTGGTGGGTTCATCTGTACCCAGAATGAACAGATCTACAAAGCCTTCAGGCATTTGATAATCCACTATGAAAGCTGCACTTCTGCTCCCAGAGACCTCTAACAAACATTCCTCCCAACCAGCACAGCCCTTGTTACATGGGAAGTGTAGGAAATCTCTCTCTCTCTGAACTGTATTTTCACTCTGAAAAGCAGCCCTGTGAGTTTCCAGATATGCTAGGCCATCCTCTTGTTAGCTGTAGGAGCAGGTGAAGGGCAGCTGCTTTCCTGTGCTGTGGGGCCCTCAGGGGGTGTGTGCTGGGCCCTGCTCTGCTCCCTGGCTCCTGTCACCAGCCTGGATGGCATGGCATGGCATGGCAGGGACAGTGCTGCACGGGGCTGCACCAAAGCACATCTCTGTGCACACCCTGACGGGCATCCCCGGGCACCTTGGGAGTGGGGCTGGGCCTGGGATGGGAGGGACAACAGAAACCTCTCCCTTGAACTGGGCTGTCAGCACTGCCAGGTAGCAAGGGATAAGCACCCCCAAGAACTTCAGAACTGCCCTGGATTTCTGGCACTGTTGAGATAAATCACAGCATTTCTGCTCAGCTTGGGCTGAATCTCTAAAAGAGCTGAGAAAATTAGACCCAGACAGGGAGATGAGTAGATCTGAGGACAGGAAGGCCTCATTTTTACATGATTCATTTTTAGAAAATTAATGAACTTTAAATCATCTTCAAATTATCTGTAACCAATAGCTTGGAAATATTTCTAGTGCTTCTATTAATGTACAGCAATTTTATAAACAAATAAACATGTTCAAAATATGAATAAGCAAAACAAGGAGTAACAATAGTCTGTTTGCATTCTCCCTTTCCCATCTGTATAGTTATTTGTGGTTGGTTAAAATGTTTTATGGCTGCCAAAGGAAAAATGAAGACAATTAGGAAAAATTATAAAGAGAAGAATATATTTGAAGAAAGATGTTATTTAACCTACATTTTCACATTACAACAAAGATGGCTGTAATTTTCAATATCTCTACTCTCAGGCTTAGGAGCTGAAGTTTGCATAGTCTTGCTATAAAGACAAAGCTGATTTGCAAACTCCCAATACACTCTTGTGTTCAGATTTCAGAAGTGTATCTGTGTTTAATATGTTCCTAAATATATTTCTATGTTTCTGTCTCTTCTTTTCCTGAATTGCTAATATAAACTCCAGTCTGAAGATCTGGCTGTCCCACTGATATTTCTGTTTTGCTGTGTTTGTAGTCCCCACTACTGATCCTCCACGGAAGTAGGTATGAAGAAATGCCCCACAACCACAAGAGATTGCCAAAGATTTCTTTCCCTTTTCACCCTGAACAATCAGCCAAACAACGAAGTGTAAAAAGTGTCAAACTAATTAATTTCAGAAAACACTTGTGCATATTTCTTGAAGAGCTAGAAATAATCTATGTGATGTATAATGAAGGGAATTGTACAGGAATAGGTTTCTTAATTAGCCAGTCTGGACTGAAGGTAGCTCGTAGCTTGAGTCTCATGGCTCAGTGAAAATAGTTTTGTTGCTTAGATATCCTGCAAGAAATTTTTTTATTTTATTTTCCATGCATATGACCCAATAACATTAGATAGATAATTTGTTTGATAATGTTCTTTCTTTGATGCCTGTCAAACTGTTTTATATATTTACTTCCTGTTTTGCTGGCTGTGGTCAAGCCACACCTTTTGTGGCAGCGAAAATTGCTGTGCCACAGAACACTGCGCCTTGGCATGGTAGGGCTTTGCTCAGATAAGCCAAGACAAAATTAATTTATCTTGCCTATCTTTTCATGGCAGACACTGACCTAACCTGCCTGTCTGAGCTCTTGTGTCTTGCCCACAGCTTTGTGTAAGCACAACTTCAGTGTACAGGGCTGGCAAGGAATCCTCTGCTGGAGACAGTGCTGGCAAGCTCACCATGTGTGTCAGGGAGTCCTGGATCTGTGTAACAACCTGTACTTCTTGTAGTATTTTCAAATACTCAGCCACAGCACTTGGGTCACAGGGTTCAATAGCCAAGAATCTCTGTCCCACTGGTTGTCACAAAGTGTTGCCAGCCTTCTGCTCCCCAGTGCATCACTTGCAATAAGTGCTGATTGCTGTTCTTAATTACTTGGTCAATTAATAGCTGTCATAAAGTTTTACAGGACTACTTAAACATTTGTCTTTCATTATACCTAAGACTGGTTGCCTCCATTTTAGTTATAACTGAGGAGGCAAAAAGAGCAGTGGGAAGATGCAGAGAAACAGCTGTACCATTCAGCCCTATGAGCACCTCAGCAGCCTGGCTGTGCACACACTCATTTCAGTGGTGTAGCAATAAAAAGGCTGCAGATCTGGTTCTCATTTTTTGACTGTAAACAGCTTTAATTCGGTTTTGCTTTCGTTGTGTAACTTCTGTATTTGCATATCTGCGTATTTCTGCTACATGTTATGAAACAGGGCCAGACTCTTTGTTTCCCTGAAGAGAGTAATAGTCAACAAAATAAACAGTATAGATTTTTAAAGGGTTTGTAACTCTAAAAGTCTTAGGAATTTCTTCAAAAATGCAAGACCATAAGCCACGTACCCTCACAGCATGCCCTGTGTGAGATGTTTACTTTTTGCCTATTATATATATATATATATATTAATAAGGGTTTTTAATTTAAAATATGCTGTTCTATTTTAAGATGCCAAACACACAAGAAACATCTGCCTGTCCCAGTGATTCTGTGCTGCCTCTGCTGCCCGCTGCAACCCTTTTGACTGGACAGACTGGTTCCTGCCAAAGGGGACACATGGCATGGTCCCTCTGCAGTTTCAGGGAGATCTGCTCAGCAAAATTGACTCTGCAGAAGTGCCCAAACACTGGACCCTGGCTTGGAGAGAGAAGAAAGCTGCTGTCTGGTGTGGAAACCTGGAGTCTCTTCTCAGCATGCAGGTTTGGCTATTCTGACCCTTGGGCTCTGTTCTAGTTAGACTAAATAAGAACATTTATTATACATGAAAATTGTTTGCCGAGGGAGTAGGAGAGGCCAAAAGCAAACATTATTAATCCACTAAACATTACTGTACCGCAGCCAAGTTTGTAACAAACACAGCAGTAGGGGTGGTTGTTTGCTATAAATTTCCACAAGCTGAGGCTCGGTCCCAGCATGCCTGACACGCTGGCGGGGTGCAGGAAATGCAGACACAGCTTCCCCAGATCCAACCCCCCACCAGGGCATCTCCTGCCCTCCCCACAGCCAGAGCAAGGGCAGGACTCTGCCTCCCTGACACTGCTCAGAAAACCTGGCTGGCTCTTCTATAAACCCCTGCATCCCTGAGGATCCTTCCCCAATGCTGGTAATTGTGTGTCAGTAGGGCAGTGGTTTGAACAGTGCAGTTTTATACAAAGTTAATGCAAGATGTCAAAGGATTAGACATTGAAGAAAAGCTAAAAATAGAAAAAAAACCTTGAAGGTTTAAAAATTTAAACTGTGTGAAGTTTAATTCCTGCTGAGCAATGACAATACTGGAAAACAGGCAGAGGCATGGCAGCCTGAGCCCACTTCAGAGGACAGCCTTTGTGGTGGAATTGCTTCTGGTGTCTCCACAGCAACTGAACATACCCTGAGCTCTCATGATGGGAGTGATGAGCAATGTATTGGAGGATTTCTCAAGGACTCTGGGGCTCCATGCCAGCTGCCTGCCAGCAAGTCAAAGGAAGCTTTGGGAGCAATTTTTCTGAGCTGGGAACCTTCTTCAAGGCATGCTAATGCAGCCTGGTGCTTTGTCTTGTCATAGGGGTCTGCAGGCGTACTTCTGACTAATGAAATGCTCAATAACATCATTGTGGGAAATTTTTTTAATGTATCAAAGCATCCTTGGCATTATTAGCATAGCCACATAATTACCCACAGGGAAACTTACACCCATATGTTAACACCCATAAATTATTGTGCAGATTTCTTTTATACCTTTATTTTCAGTTTCTGGGAAGGATACATCACCGGGTACTTAATATAGTCATTGCTTCAGAAGATGTAAGCTGCCCATGCCTGCAGTAAAATGTTCAGGAGGCAGAGTGGTGCTGGCAGCGTCATCTGAAAGCTCAGGAAGCCAAAGCCTAACTCTGCTCAGGGAGTGATGCAAGAATATGATGCACCTCTTTAATTTCACAAGAGGTTTCTTAAAAAGACAGGAATTAAAAAATGAGAATGGAGATGAAGAAATTTGTGTCAGACTGAGAAAAATTTCTGTTAGTGTCAGAAAAAAACCCTTTGTAGCAGGGAAAAAATTCTTCATAGTAAAAGGCAGAGAGCCTGATCTGAAATTCCAAGCTAGGATAGCAATATCAATGTATTATAGATATCCTGACACCCTGAGTTGTTAGCCATATGTGTCACATATCTGACACTTTTTTATTTAGACTGAAGATACCAGATTACAGATCTAACCTTCTCAATTTTCACATAATCCTCACAAATTTGGCATGAATGCTGTAAAAGAAGTGGTGTTTGAACCAAGAAATTAGTTGTAGTATTTTCAGATCTTGGATTCAGACAACAAGAAATTTTTAATGCAGACCCATTGTATGCTTATCTTCATGGTCTTTAAATGATTTATCCCAGTATTGAGAGTATGCTATTCTATGCAAATATGATTTATGTTCATTTTACTAAAACTGTTAACTACAAAACATTAGGACTTGAAAAATATATCTTGCTTTTTATAAAGAGCTGTGTTGCACTTTTACTCAAGTTATTTTAGTAAGTCCTTTCGATTTTATTTTTTTCTATTTGTGTTTGCTTGACATTTCTACACAAGGTATCTGCTGACTATTCTGGTTCTCTGTAAGAGGGATAAAAGTAAGGAACATTCTTCCCCTCCTTTGATCACTCTGCAGCCTGGGAACTGCAAACTGATGTTCAAATATTCAAAGCTTACAGAAGCAGAGCATAGTATTTAATGTTGCATGCTGGAGTGCTGGCAATTGCTACAAGTGGTTCACTGTAGTACAGTAGTTTCCAGCATTGCCTCATTTATTAATCATAGAAATGTTGCATGCAAATTAGCCAGAGAGTTGTGCATCATAATACAGTAATCAAAAAATCTGTCTTCACATGTATTAATGCCTACAAATTTAGCACATTATAGCACTGCATGGTTTCTCCATTACATTCCAAAACGTGCCAAAAGCACTAAAAGCTGTGTCACTGAGTGTTTTCTTCTTGTTGCTTGCTGACTTTCTAAAGAGTGAGAGTATTTAGCTCCAGGGCACTTTTGTGTCTGCCATTTTCCAGGGTTCTTTTTTGGGTTAATGTTCTGTCAGCCAAATATCAATATTTCTCTTGCTGTAACGCAGTTTAAAAATGTATTTTTTAACAAGTAGGTACATGGTAAGCACCACTGTCCTCCACTTCAGCACAATTTCAGAAACTCTTCCCTGCTCTGAAAGCTGCTTCATTTCACATCCTGACCTTGTTATTCCTAGGCACTGTGCAAGGAAAATCTCATATTTTAATCTCTTGCTTTCTAACTACTCCAAATATTTTTTTCAGGAAGGTCAAGGTGAGAATGAAGGAACTGAAAATTTTGCGCAGAACATTTTGCAAAGAAAGAAACACTTCACAGTAGATAGGGACAATTTGTGCAGTTGTATTCCCAGCTGCTCACCAACCTGCCAAAAGATGGGAATAGACAGAGAAATGGCAGCAAAAATTGTTTGCAGGACAAAGGAAGAAGAGAGAACAAAACAACTGGAGGCAAGCAAGAAGGGGGAAGCAAGGGAAGAGCAGAAGGAACATTATAATGGTCAACACCAAGGCAGTCAGAGACCTTGTGTGTTGGGACAGAGCAACTTTTGGAGTTAGCTGTGCAAAAATCCAGTTAACAGGATGTTTCATTTGCTATGGTAGTTACCTAACACTTAAGCATTTTACACATTCACTCTCCACAGGCTACATCACAGAGATAAAAGCAAAAGGCATAAACTGAAGTGACTTAGCCAAGTGGTAAAAAACCACAGTGCAAACCAACACCCCAGAAAGTCATTACCTCTCTGTTTCCAAACCTGCAAGAGGTGGGGTAAGGTAAAGCCAAATGCATTAAACAGGTAAAAGTAGGAGGGAGAAATTTGTAAGCTAGGCTAACCTGTTTGAACCATACATATTTGAACAACATGCTAAACCATTTTTTAAAAGAAGGAAGCTACTATTAAGGTATAAAGGCAATGTACAAATACAATAAAAACAAGAGATGCAAAATGTTCACAAGAGTAACTGCAGATAATTTCATTGCAGCTGGTGACACTAACGTGAGCTGCATTCATTCTTACAGCATTGAGAGTACCACAGGCAAAAAGAGGTAAATACAAATACAAAAGAAAGTAAAAAGAATATACATAGGGAGTAGCAAAATGATGCCTTTAAGACTTTGCTCCTGGGATCAGTATTATTATGGGTATTTTGTACAATATATGACCTTTTATTCTCAGGTTAAAAATCAAGCTTTGTTTAGAAACCTCCCCCAGTTTTATGGTTTTTTCAGTTTCATCTCTGATCCTACTTTGCTCTCCTGCACTAAACAAACCACCACTGGTCTACTATAGTAGTTTCTTACTGCACTGAGTCAAAATCAGCAATCATTCCTGGGTATTACTTACTGTCACTTGGCTCATGGTGGCTGTTTTGTCACCTCCTGGTCTCGGATCCCACAGAGGAATAATGGCAGCATAGAAGCTGAAGCTCTATAAAAAGTGTCAGCTTAATATCAGAGGAGGAGCTAGGCATAAGGGGTTGGCTTCACAAATGTAAATATTTCATAATTTATTTAGCAACGTGGCTTTGCTTTTTCCCCCAGGCAAAAACTTTAATAAAGGAATAGGTCTACTGCAACAAAGGAAACAACAGCAAGAAACAGAGACAAGGACACATCCTAGCCCCATTAATATCAGCAGGAATTTGCCTTCATCTTCAGTGGGAACAGAACTTCAAAGACATGGGAATCACCCATACAACCTGAAGGGTAAAATCGGAACCTTCCATAGTCTCTGACACAAGCTGTGTTTGAGGGTGGTGGGGTAGTCCTGACACCATGAAAATGTCCCCAGCAGGACTGCATGACCTTGGCCTGGCTGTGACCTTGTCCCTGGCACTGGCAGGTGTTGTTAGGACAGACCTCAGAGAGCTCATTCCTTGACAGAAGAACCTCCCTGAGGCCCATGAGCTTGGCACAGGTGAAGCTCCTGTCTCTCTTTGCTCATGGCTGTACTTTCAGTGCCCAAATCAGGATGAAGTGACATCCCCACCTTTATTGGTACGTTTTTTTATGTCTCAGTAGCTTAAGATATTCTTTCAAAGCCTATCTCTGGCAGAATGAAAGCTCTATCTCCTCAGTCCTGATTTGTGTTGTTTGAACTGAGGAAGACGAGTGGTGTGGATATAAAGAATAGTTTCTTCTCTAGGAAGATTTAAGATCTCCCCTGAAGACTAAGAACATATTTAAGTGCACATGGCCTGCTAAATGCTGGGAATGAGGGAAAGCCAGGATGAGGGGACTCTTTCCTGGGCAACTCTGCAGGTCTTGTTTTGGTACTCACACCATACAGCAAGTAAAAATGCAAAGAAGAGATGTGCTAACAACAGAATTAGTTTTCCTGTCCTTCCTTTGGATGACTCCTAGTGCTTCTTCCATTCCTGGGAATGCATAATATGACATGGTATCAAGTTGCTGGATGAAAATATGTATAATGTACAGCCTGGGAAGGTTGCTACACTCTTGATGAGTTTATTTGCTCCTTATAGTCATATTTTAGCTCTGTGAGAAAAAGTTCCCCTCTGTCCTTCATTATTTACTGGTCACCAAAGTAAGTCTGACAATACAGACTCTTTCAAATAAACCAGATTCCAGAGAACAGTAGGAAAATGTTCCATGGGAGTGTGTACCCTAACTAAGGCCCCTCCATCAATTTCTAATTATATTTCATGTTTTGTATGGTGTCTGCACCCCCAGACCACTGCAGCCATATCAGGAAAGCAATGGCAAGCACTTTCAGAAAAGCCCCTTTAAAAGAGATGTGCTTAGCACGTTTGCTTGTCTGTGTTCTATACAGCAGTGATTTTGTGTTTCTGCGTGTAAAGAGTTCTGTGGACAACCTTTATTAAAGCCACAAACATGACTACAAAATACAAGTTTATGCATGTTTTCCATACATTAAATTTCTTAAGGAATCTGAAGCCTCTCCTGCAAAACTATAAGAACATTTCAAAACCTGTGCTCTTTACAAGTCAGACCCATATTGTATGTCAAAATATACAGCTGGGGTTTTTTGAAAGAGCAAGCACTCCTCAGGATCCTGCAGGTACAGAGAACTTGGGATTTCAATACTTTTTAATAATAAAATGTAATATTTGTTTAATGCTAAATTCCTCTGAGTTTCAGTGCCCTTATTGTTCACTACCAGCACATATATAATCAGCCTAAGAAAGGAGGAGCAGAGCATGTTGTTTGGCTGTTTTGAGAATCATAGAACAATGCTATTTGAGTCTGTGGGTTTAGCTTGGTAGTCCATCTGAAATGGCTGTCAGTGAGACAGATAGTACAGGAAAGGTGAAACACTGTATTTCAGATAAGAAACTCATCTGTATTTCATGGTTCCTGTCTCCTCTGGGAATATGAGGCCAGGGCTTTGTGGGATCGAGTGACACTCCTGAACATAACACTGCTGAGCTTAGAGCAGTGTGGTAAAGGCAAAGTGACACTGAGTATCTTTGTGGCCCTTACCACTTCTACCATAAACAAGGTGTCTTTCCTAAGCAGGGGAAGTTGCAAGGGCACACAGCATTTGAAGTCCAGTTTAATTTAAATGTAGTACTGCATAAATTAATAAGATGAACACAGTAAAAATTAGAAGAGCCAAACTTTAAACAAATTTATGAGTGCACTGTACAAATTAATACATATTTGTGCAAAGTAGCCAGGAGAAGAAAAATATGTTTCCTCTAAAAGGATGTAGGTGTGGCTACTGCAGTGTACGAAGGAGATTAAAAAAAAATCCTGTTGTTGTGTTGTGTTTGAAGTATTAATTAGAGTCTGGCGTCAGCTTTGAATGATAACTATTACTTTCTTCACACAGATTTTCTAAGCTTGAGAGACCAGTTTTCAAAAGCTCTCTAGCAAAGCTATTATCTTACCAGCATTACTTTGTCAGAAGAATCTGTGAAAGGTTCATCACTGAGGGTGAGTCTGGTTTTTTCAGTATCTTCTCAGGAATTGCCTTCAAAAATGAAAGTCAGCTTTTCTGACAGTAATCTTTCATAATTACAGATGAAAATTACGCAGTTGGCAAATTCTCAACAGCCTTGGAAATTGGACCTAATACATTCAAAGGCACAAGCCTTTAAAGTATTTCACACTTAGACAGTTAGCCAATATTCTCAATTAGAATACATGCTTTTGTTCTTAAAGAAAACCACCCCTGCTATTTATTTCACTGCTGATACAGGTTTGTATCTGTTAGTGCTTTGAATTTCCTGATTTGGATACTCCCAGAAGGAGTACTTCTATATAGCACCCTGTCCCAGATAACTTAATACAGAAAAGGGTTCCAGTAAGTCTTGTACATGGATGTATGAACACACTGTATATAAAAAGAAATGTACACCTGCAGAGCTCTGGTATTGTGAAATACAGCATTCAAAAGTGCTTAGCTCCCTGAAGTATGATGGCTCTTCATTTGATCTAGGATATGCAGGAGTGGTACAGATAAGATGTGTGCCTATGGGTGGAGGGAAAAAGAGTATTTTATATTAAGAGACTCAAATGGTTCCTTTCCTTCCTTCTGCGGGTGCTCTTCCAGTACACTACAGCAGTTCTGCTGCTGAATAATTTTTCTGAGTTCGACCTGTTATTAGTCACAAGATTATCCCAGCTTCATGCTGAGCCTTTACCTAGGCTTAGTTACAAGGGTTTTCTCAAAACCTGGTGAAATGCTTTTCACCCTCAGTACATAGCTTGGTTTCTGCACACAGTGTTCTGCTGTGGATATGTAATGGACATATGCGATGTCTTTTCCAAATCACAGCAGGTGGAAGCCTGCTTTGAGACTACACTGGAACATCCAGTAACACTGACATTTTAGGCAGTGGCTGTTAAAAGTTCTTGGAAAAGCAAGAAGTGCTTAAAGGTCAGAGGGTTCAGGACGTTAGCAGGAGCTTAACTGGCATCAAACCATGGCACAAGAAAAAGTGTGAAGAGGGTATTCTTCTGCAGCTTGCTTTTTGAAATGAGAAAAATGGAAACAATTTATGAATGTAAACAGGAAGGGAACAGCACTTTTCAAAGAGCTTTGAACTGCAGAGCTGTGGAGTGCCCGCTTCTTCTCAAGGCAGAATAATACCTAGAAGCTCAGCCAGTGGGTGAGGGCATTGCACTGACATCTCACCTGAAACAGCAGAGGTATCCCTTTTAATTTCTGCCAACACACTTGAAGGAATGAAAGATCTTGAGCCCAAAGGAAAGGAAATTTTAGTGTCCCCTAAAGGATGGACTGCTTCCTGATGAGAAAGTGCTAAAGATGTGCTGCTCTCTGTGCAAAGCTGAAGGGGTGCCCAGAGAAACAACAGCACATCCAACAGGTGTGGTTAATCCTTGTCAGGGAAGCAGGCTCTTCCCAGGACTACTGAGCAAAATACGGCTGAAAGAACAAGTGAGAACAGAACTTTTAATTAAATATTAGCTTCAGCCTGGATAAAAACTTGAAAAATTATACATTTATTTATTAAAAAAAAAATCTAGAATGACATGCTAAAAATCCTCATCAAAGACCTGTAAAGAGACTCCAATCATCGGAGCAGTATATTCTGCTTAAGATTTAAAAAATGTACAACAGAATTTGGTCTTGATAAATAACTTGTGTGCAGGATCTGGAGCAGTTTTGTTGGGATCTCCAGCAATGCCATCACTCCATCTCTAAATGATTTTGAGGTTGGTGTCATATCAGCAGTATCAAGCCTGCAGGCTGTGTAACAAGCTAATGATGCAACACTTGAGGATGAAGGTGGAGGTGCTGCTAGAATGACAGAGCCCCACCACACACAAACAGTAAGAACCAACTGAGATTACGCGAGGCTGCAATCAAACATGAACCATTAAAGACACTGCTTATTAAAAACACAGACCCAACTAAACTGAATTTATATAAACTATCTAATTAACAGATTAGAAAACCTGATATGACCTGTGTGATCTTCTAGTCTGACTTCTGGCATAATGGAGAGCAGATTTTCCTGAACTCATCCTGTCCAAACTAGATTGTATCATCTTAAGGGGGGCACATATATCTTGATATAAATATCAACAGGAAATTTACTATAATTCTTGGTAGCCCTCTCAATGGTTAATTATGGGTAACTATAAATTAAGATTGCAGGTCTTGGATCTTTGTCTGCCTGAGCTAAGGCATGAATTTTTAAATGAATATTTACACCATAGAATGGTACATAAAGGGCCCCCATTAACTTTCTCTTTGATAAACTAACTAGGTGGAACTTCTTGAACCCCACATTCGAAGGAGAGTATCCTTTAATCATGTCTCATCTCTACTCTATGGAATCCTTCTAATTTTTCATCACTCTTTTGAATTTAGGACCCAGATCCTGAACAACATTCCACCTTTCCTTGCATTGGTACCAGATAAAGACGAAGTATAAATCTCTTTATCCTTTCTGAATATTTACTTCCTTGGGCAATCGAGTTACTTTCCATATTCTGATCACCATGGAAGAGAAGTAGCAATTGTGATCTGATAAAATTCCTTTTCAGTGACTTTTCTTCCCAGCAGAGGACTTCCTAGGAGATTTGCTGGGCCCTTGTTTGTTCTTTCTGAAATATATATTCTGCATCTTTATTTGGATAGGGCAGAAAGGCTCTCTCAGTGATTTTGTAGAAGAATAAGGTTCAAAGGGATGTATCAGAGATTACCACGAAGTATTTGTGATGAAAGAGACTGGGGACAGGACAGATCTCCTGAATCCCATACTGGCACTACAGTACTGCACATTTCCATGTGAGGCTGAAGGACAGAGGCCATGGCCAGATGCATTGTCAGCTGATGGATACAATCCTGGGATCAGATTGAATTCTGCCATTTCTTTCCAGATGTATCTCAAAGTCACCTGATGAAATAAAAAAACGGGGTTTGAACCATTGAGTCTAACTCTCTCCTGCCATGCCTTCTCTTTCATAAATAATTCCATGCAAGCTTAGGAAATAAAGTATTTTTCCAAACAGGAGAAAAAAAGTGATCAATTTGGAAACACAGACAAAGGAAATATTATTTTAGTTAATCCTTCCTTGTCAATTTGTATGTAACTTTTACTGAAATGTGCTTTTAATTCTGTCCTCTGTCTCTTACTCCAGAGAACAGAGATTGTCTCCAGCATCAGTCTGTGCTGGGCAAAACATCAAACTTGTTGAACCGTGCAGACCAAGCAGAAGAAATCCTGTGATAAAAAGTCCAATGTAAGACCAAATCTCATCATGAGTTTCATTTCTTTGTTCAGTCAAACCCTGTGCACCAGTCAGGATTGGCTCTCACAAGCTTCCACTGTAAAATTATACAAAAGAGGCTGAAATCTAGGCCACAGCTAGAAATAATTCTTAGGAAGCTCTCTGGATTTCCTGGAGGGTAAGGTGTGGCTCTGTGTGTGGGAGGTAAACGCCAGTGTTTTTCTGTTACCAATAATTATGTGCAGCTTGAGTTTCAGTAATAAGAGCTACATATGCATGCTGGAAAAAAAGAGTTTATCTTACACTGGGATTATACATTCCAAGATAAATGTCTTACATTGCTTTTATCTTTGTTATTTTGTGATTAGCACTTTTAAATGTCCAAAAGAATGCGCATAGTTTATCAACACATAACTAAAACATACAGTTACTGAGAGTTTGTAACATAAAAGAGAAAGAAATCTTGTAAATCTTCATATTAGCCCACCAGTCTGTCTACACATTTTGGAACTACTACTTGCATTAACATTTGTTTTTATTAGCCTCAATAATTTTGCTTTTGATGTTTTTTATGATCACTGCCAAATACAGAATATGCTTTCCAGAAAGTTATCCTGAGGTGAACACACAACATTGAATTATCAGTCTTAAAGGATTTGATAAACCAATAAAGAAAGAAAAACTTATCGAGGGAAAGGGGCTTGGTAGCTTAAATAAAAGAAATACTGCAATTCTAATGACTATTAATCAAAATATAGAAATAAAGACAGGAAAAAAGCCCCAACTTTAATGTAGCTAAAATGTAGCCATGTTAAATGATTTTAAAGTCCATTCATTGCAGTGTCAAACCCCCTTACATATGAATATTATGGAAGATATTCTGCAATTCTTATAAAACATTTGAAAGGGCTTTTCCTACTTCATTTTGAGTTTTCATAGCATCATGGGTTTTCAGGCCAGAAGAAAGCACCACAAGTCTCCAGCCTGACCTTTTGCATGGTACAGGTGATAATTAGATTGAGGGATGTGTCCTTTGGGAAAAAATCCACCACCTTGGTTTAAAGTTTTCATGTGAAAAAGAATACTTCACAGGCCTATCTATCAATTTGTTTCCCAGGGCTTAGTTAATCCAAGGGGTTTTCTGTTTGTTTTGATTTTGGTTTTAATCAAAAAAGATCTCTTGACTCAGCTTTCAAACGTTGCATCTTCTAAAAGATTTGTCTGTTAAACTGAAGATTTCTATGATTATTCTCTTTATTTATGTAATTTCAGGTGAGTTAGTTTTTCCCTGATTCATTGATGGGCCAAAGACATGAAGCTTTTTAAGTCTCTTTTATGAAAAGGGTTTCTAGATCCCAAAGGAACCACATAGTTCTGCTAAACCAGTTTCTCAGTTTTTGTCTCAGTATCAGGGCAAGTCCTACTGTTCCACCAACAAAATCCCCATTGCTGCAGTGCTCCCCACATTTGTTCACAAGGATGGCATTTCTGTGTGTCCCTACCATTCCATTTCTGCATCACTCCTTTTCATGATGCAGCCCTCCCTCAGGTAACTAAATTACATTTTTCTTTTCTAGCAATATTAGCCTGCACTTAACTATCCTAAAATGCACATTGTTTAAGTTAACTCACCTAGATTCTGGGAGCAATGTGGACTAATTTCTTATCATGTATCACTTTACAGCTTCTGTTAGTTACAAAAGATTATCTTAAAATTTGTAAAATGACTAGTAACTGTCACTAGCTATTTATAAATACTTCTCACTTATTAATAATGCCAAGTAAAAAAATGATCCTGACTATTTTTCTCTATTTAAAATGTAAAGTATATACTAAGAGCCTAGTGTAATATAGCCAGACACTGAAATGTATTGAAACAGAGGAATATTTAAGCAGTATTTTGCTTGTTCTTGATAGAATGCGTGTTGACACCATGGAGTTAAGAGCAGTCTTCAAGGGGAAGGGAATGACAGTTTCAGTTGACACCTTTTGCTTTGTAATAAAATAATCACCTTATTTCTGTAGTAGCACCTACAAATTATGTTGCAATAATTTTGAACAAGGAGAAAATCCTTCTCTATCAGTGGGCAAACTGCATGCAGAAAAGGAAGCAAAATTATTGGGTATACCAACTCTATTTATTTCAGCAAAATTATTCCACTACCGCACAAATATGCCTTCATATAAAGTAACAGAAATTTAATAAATAAAATGAAAACAGAAGGTAGCATATTCTGAGAAATATCTGCCTAGAAATAAGTCATACTCTAATCTTGGATTAACTCCTTCTTTTTCCATACATAAAGGAGTGTTTTATTAAGGCAGCCCAAGCTATGTGTAATTGCACCAGCAGAAAGATACAAGCATCACTTTCTGCAAAGAGAACCACACCTCCCAAGAAACACAAGTTTTTCTACATACCCACAAGGCTGATGAAATGTTGCCATTGACTATCTTCTCTTTTACAGGATAGTTCTTTAGCAAAGGGTAGGGATCTCCAGAAGCAACAAAATGAATTCAGCAAAATACCAGGTTGGAAACAGTAGATGCTTCTTTAGTACTTTGCCATGGGTAACTATTGGATAAACTTCTCAAAAAGTCTAATAGTGTCAAAATACAACTTTATTGTCCATAGAATTTCTATTTGGGGAAGTATTCCAGTTTTCTACACTGGACACTTGAAACTCTAGCAACCGCCATTATCTTTTTTTTCCCAGCTTATATACAATTAATGCATTATCTAATATTTATAATCTACTAACCAGAAGTGCTGACACACTTGTAGTAAGTCAAACACCCAGTATTAGCCAGTCCAATCTGTCCAAATTAAGATAATGACCAGCTATGCCATCTTGATAAGTCTTGTGGGAAAAAAATATTATGTTGGTTATAACCACATGTTTACTACTGTGTTGACATCCATACATAAAGTCATTTTTTTAAAAGTCGAGCAAGTTGAAAACTGGACACCCATATGCAGCAGAATATGGAATTTCCATAAATTTTAAATAATACTTTTGCAAGGGTTTTTTGGAAGAATTCCTTATAAAATGCCTTCTTTTTTAAATCCTCTCCTTTGCTTAATTCTTCCTTAGATTATGCAAATCTTGCTCAGTCAGGCTTCCAAAAGCTTTGCTTCTTTTTCTTTCTCACATGCACATAACCACAGACACACTCTGAGACGTTTGACACAGAGCACTTGGACACATCCCTACTCCTTGCACAGTGTTTCAGTAGAAGGCTGCACCAGGAACTGCTGCAGCTGCAAGAAGAGCAGGAGGGGAGAGCCAGAGAGCTACAGGTCTGCTCTGTCCCCAGCGTGAGTGTGGAGCAAACACTGCTGGGACACATTGCCTAGTGTGGAGCAGACACTGCTGGGACACATTGCCTAGTGTGGAGCAGACACTGCAGGGACACATTGCCTAGTGTGGAGCAAACACTGCTGGGACACATTCCCTAGCACTTGAGGGACACGAAGGTGGCTGAGAACAGATGGTGCAATGTGGCCTTGCCAAGGGCAAACCTTTGATGGAAGACTGGCTCAAGAGGAAGAGCAGTGCTTGCTGTTTACCCTGACTTTAGGGAGATCTGCAGCACGGACTCCCACAGTGTCCCTGCAGTGAAACAGGTGAAATAGGGAGTGGAAAAATGTGCAAGGTGGATGGGTCAGCTGGGCTGTGCAGTGAAACAGGTGTTGATCAGCAGTGCTAACACCATATAAAAAGGAGGCTGGTTACTAATAGTGTTCCTCAGGGACCTGTACAGGGGCTAAAACTCTTAATGTCCTTTTTAATGGCATTCTCAGCATGTTCAGATGTGATACTTTTTGTGAGCAGGGGTGTCAATACTCAGGAAGATAAAGCTGCTATTCATAGAGGTCTTAGTTCTTTTTTACCATTGTTTTTTTTCTTAAACCTAGGACTTCTTACACAAAAGTGTGAAGATTGTAAAGAAGCTTTAAAAAGAAAGAGCACTACAGAATAAAAACTAAAAAAATTCATTTGGTCTCCTTATTGACCCATAGTACACCAAACTTTTTTAAACACTCAGTCTGCATTCCTCATTTGGTCAGTGATGTACCTGAAATCTGGTATCTAGAATGATCCTGAGCATGCAGACATTAATTGTGAATCTAATTGAATATAGCTGTGGTTGGAACACGTGGTGCTAAATATTTGTAAAATAACCTTTAGATGTCTTACACTGGGCATTCTAAGTGTGTTTGATAAATTTTGTTTTGACAGACTAGTTTAATTTTTCCCATCTGTATAATGGACATCATGCCTTCTTTCCAATAATCATCTTAATGCTTGTACACAGCTCAGGTACTGTAAAAAAGAGCAACCCAGAAAAGCATACAAAAATAATTTTTTTGGTGTTATGTTATGGCATGAGGACAGGGCATTGAGAGCATATGGTTAGATCTAGTGTTCATCCTGAAATAATAAACAATACCCAACCTCATTGTGCATGATACCCATTTTATCCATTAGAGAGATTGCCCTGGGTGACTGAAAACAGTGAAATTAAAAGACTGTACAGACAAGATCCACTAAGGAATGCAAGCCTGTAAGTCTCAAACAGATGATCTTGAAAAACTACCCACACACTTCCTGCATAGTCACCTGGTAATTTAATGAAATGCACTCCTGGAGAAACAGCTCTGGGTATGCCTGAGTCTGGGAACAATGTGGAAAGAGCTAAGCAGTTCAGCATTGATTTTGTGCTTATGCCTAGCTGGGTAAACAAGAGACTATTCTACAGTGGTGGCCCCAGATGGCTTGGTACAATAATACAAACCAAGCACCAGTGGCTTAGGCTCTCTGCAAAACACAATTGCAGCCTTTCTCTCAGAAAATGATGGTGTGGATGTCCATCTTTAATAGGACAGCATATCGTGGTGGGCCCATGCCCAACTCTTTCCTGAGCTGAAGAGAAGTGGGCTCAAAGACAGATTCTCCTGCCACAGGAGCATCTCCCACCACTCTGACTGTCCCACCCTGGTGAGGCCACACTGTCCGCTCTTCACTGTGCAAAAAGCCCAGCAGAGCATCAGGCCAGCAGTGCAGAAAGAATCAGGCTCTCCAGCTCAGAGATGAGAGCATACACAGAGAAACTGAGGCTGGTTACAATCCATTCTCTATAACAATCCATTCTCTATAACTTGTTTTTTGCTGTGTAACTTTTAAAGTAAACTACAGGGAGAATACTCAGATCTGGCCAGTAGTCAAATCTTGTTTCCCTTCAGAAGGAGAGTGCCCAGCCTGGCTATTTGATTCAGCATTTTCTAGATCTTACTTGACACACAGCAGCAGCTTCAGCTGGAAGAATGAAGACACTTCTCATC